GCCGCGCGCCGCCTCCGTCTCTCCAGGTTTTTCCGTCCCCGTCTCTCGCCCTCTCCCTGGCTCCCCGGGGCCGTCTCTCGTGCCTCGGTGTCTCTCCCCGTGTCTCTGGCTGTGCCTACGGGCTTTCCCCGTGGGGCCCTGTCACTCCGGGTCCCGGATCCCGTCTCTTTCGTTTCCCACCGTTGGTCTGGCACCCGCTCGCTCTGGGCCGCGCATCGAGCCTCGGCTCCCCGCTCGGCCGCCCGTCGTCTGGCCGTCCTCTCTCCCCCCTGTCAATCAGCCGTCACCTACGGACGCGATCTGTCACCTGGCCGTGTCTCTCCACCCACGTCCTGAGCGCCCGGCCATCTCTGACCCTCTCCCGGCGCCTTCGGCTCGGCATCCCCGTCCCCGTCGCCCGGGGTCCCCTCTCCGCCGAGCTGCCGCAGCCGGGGTCTCTCTCTCTCTCTGCCAGACCTGTCTCTGCCCCGGGTCCCTGTCGGGGAGGCCCCCCGACCGCCCGGGCTGTGCGCCCCGCTTCCCCGGCGCCCGCGACTGTCTGCTTTTCTCGGGAGCCGGGGTTTGGCTTCTCAGACGAACGAAACGGGATGGAGGCGCATCGAGCCCGAGGGCCCCGGCCCGGGCGCGGCGGCGGCGGCGTGGGAGCGGCCCCGGCGGGTGGCGCGGGGACCCGGGCGGCGAACCCCCGCGCCCAGCCGGGGCCGGGGGCCTCCCCGGGCCGGGGGCCGTCGGCGCGCGCTCACCTGCCCCTCCTCCCACAGGCGGACGCCGCGGGCATGGACTATTCGTACGACGAGGACCTGGACGAGCTGTGCCCCGTGTGTGGGGACAAGGTGTCGGGCTACCACTACGGGCTGCTCACGTGCGAGAGCTGCAAGGTGAGCGCGGCCCCGGGGCCGGGGTGGTGCCGGGGAGGGCACCGGCGGCGGGGCGGCGGGGGTGCGGGGCCGGGGCCTGGCGCTCACTCCCTTCCTCTGGAGCAGGGCTTCTTCAAGCGCACGGTCCAGAACAACAAACAATACACGTGCACCGAGAGTCAGAGCTGCAAAATCGACAAGACGCAGCGTAAGCGCTGTCCCTTCTGCCGCTTCCAGAAGTGCCTGACCGTGGGCATGCGCCTGGAAGGTGCGCGCCTGCACGCCCGCCCGGGACCCCTGACTGCTGGCCGCCCCGGGGAGCCGCGGGCGGGCCTGGGAGAGGGGCCGAGGGGGGAAAGCGGCGCCGTTTCTTTCTCTGGGGGACTTTCTCTCGGCCTGGCGTGGGGACCCCAGCTCCGCGGGCAGCGGAGGCAACTAGGAAGGCTAGCGCTAGGCGAGGCCTGGCGGGCTGGGCTGGCTCGCCCGGGCACGGTCCCAGAATGTCAAAAACCAGACTTCCAGCCCGGCGGGCGCTGCCTGCAATCCCAGGACTCCGGAGGCTGAGGCAGGGTGGTTGCCGGCCATGGATGCTTATTGAGACCCAGGAACCTCTCCCCTGAGGGCTTGAGCCTATCTCCAGGACAGAGCAGAGTCCCCAAAGGGGGGTGCTTTGAGGAGCGCCTGGCCGCCCCCTATAAATCCCCATATCAGCCAGAGGCAACGTTCTCAGGAACTTGACGGTGTTCAGATCCCAGCCTCATCACTTGTAGGTTAGGGACACCTTAACTTCTCTGAGCTGCAGAGGGCCCGGCCCGAATAACGAGCTAAAACGTAATGTGTCAGTGGGAGGGCTGAGGGGTTAAGAAAAATCGGGAGCTGCCTCCGTGAGGGCCAATACTCAGCAGAATGGCTGTAACCGTCATTATTGTCGCCCTTTCTGCTGCTGTTTGTCCATCACCGTTCAGCCCGTGCATCTGCCTGTCCGTCTCGCATCTAAGTTTCACGGGAACTGGGATTCCTTCCCATGCTTTCCCAGCCCAGCCCCGACAAGGTTGAGGTGAGGGGGAAAACGGTGGCCTATCGCTGCCGCCTCTTCCCTACCCCTGTCCTGGTCCAGAGAGGACAGCAACGGTCCATCAAGACAGACTCAGGCTCAGAAAGTGGACAGTCATAGCTTCTACCCTGCTGGCCCCAGCCGGGCTGAGTGCCCAGCCAGCAGCTGTTGCAGAGAAGGCCCTAAAGGCTAGGAGAGCTGTGGCCATACCCTGCTACCTAGAGATTGGAGGAGGTACCTAGTCCTATGCCTGGAGCCCTCATGCCTAGGTCCAGGTCCCGAGTGGGCTATCGTGGGTCGCAGAAGCCTCCGAGGCAGCCCAAGGGAGCAAAACAGCCCGGCTACTTCCCCTCCCGGCAGCAAGATCTGGTCGGCAGGCTCCCAAGCCCTCAGCTCGGTGGAACACCACCCCTCTCTCCAGCTCTCTCCCTTTTCTCAGAGCTTGGGTGGGGTCCTGTCTGAGCAGGGGCTGGAGCCACACTGGAGCTGCAGAGATGCACCTGTTGAGTCTGGCTGGTGACACATTCTTGGCCAGGAGAAAAACATCTGGTCAGCAAAATAAATCCCCTCCTCCAGCAGGCTCCCAGTAGAAGGCAGTGGGGGAAGCCCCAGTCATCCTGCAACAGGAGCTCAGCAGAATCAAAAAGGCAGTAGCCCGGCGCCCCACTGTTAGCAAAGCAGACTAAGGTCTTTTCGTTTTCACCATCTCCCTGTCCGGCCCTGGGCTGGGCATCTGAACCCAGAGCGGAGCCCCAGGCCCTTTCAGCAGGATAGGAGATTTTGCCGGGGTAATCCTGACTCTTCCTGGAGGTGACGACATTGGACTGGGTGTTTAAAAAAAAAAGAATGCAAGAGAAAGAAAAGGGTTCCAGGCGGACAGAATAATAGAGGGAAGGGTGGGTAAGCAGGAGGAGGGGAAGGAGATGGGGGGGGGGGGTCATAGAGAATGTGGAGAAAAGCCTGGGATGCCAAGCTAAGGCTCCTGCTCTCACCTGTGGGCAGAGAAGGCCACTGAGTGGGGATGGGGAAATGGTGATGCTTGAGTGTGTGTGTGTGTGTGTGTGTGTGTGTGTGTGTGTGAGAGAGAGAGAGAGAGAGAAAGAAAGAAAGAGTGAAAGAGAGAGAGAGAGAGAGAGAGAGATATCTTTGGAAAGATCTGTGGCGGGCAGGTAGGAAGGCAGAAGCTGACAGATTGCTCCTGCCCACAGCTGTGCGAGCTGATCGAATGAGGGGTGGACGGAACAAGTTTGGGCCCATGTACAAGAGAGACCGGGCCTTGAAGCAGCAGAAGAAGGCACAGATTCGGGCCAATGGCTTCAAGCTGGAGAACGGACCGCCGATGGGGGTGCCCCCGCCCCCCCCTCCCCCACCGGACTACATGCTGCCCCCTAGCTTGCATGCACATGAGCCCAAAGCGCTGGTCTCTGGCCCACCCACTGGGCCGCTGGGTGACTTTGGAGCCCCAGCTCTGCCCATGGCTGTGCCTAGTACCCATGGGTCTCTGGCTGGCTACCTCTATCCTGCCTTCTCTAACCACACCATCAAATCTGAGTACCCAGAGCCCTATGCCAGCCCCCCTCCGCAGCCGGGACCACCCTACAGCTATCCGGAACCCTTCCCGGGAGGGCCCAATGTGCCAGAGTTCATACTGCAGCTGCTGCAACTAGAGCCAGAGGAGGACCAGGTGCGCGCGCGCATCGTGGGCTGTCTGCAGGAGCCAGCCAAAACCCGCTCTGACCAGCCGGCGCCCTTCAACCTCCTCTGCAGGATGGCGGACCAGACCTTTATCTCCATTGTGGACTGGGCACGAAGATGCATGGTGTTTAAGGAGCTGGAGGTGGGTACCCGGCTCGCCTTCCCCAGCCCCTGGCTCTAGCTACTACTCTCAGCTGCCCAGCACAACCCTTTGGATGGGCAGTCCTACCCAATGGCTTCAGGCCGTGTCGGGGAGGCACCACTGCAGGGAGAAAGGGCATTTCTGAGCTATTGCAGCTTCTTGGTGCCTGCTGCCCCCTGCCCATCCCTCTCCCTGTCTCTCCAGTCTGTCTCTCTTGGCCCCTGTCTCTCCTGTGTCCCCCTCCCTGGCTTTCAGTCTCTTAGCACCTCCAGGCTTTGCTTCTCTTCCAGTTGGCTTTCTGTAGGCAGCTCCCTGTTTCTCTGAGACCCTAGGCTCCTTCAAAACATTTGTCTGGTCCCCCAGATCCCTAGCCCATGTCAGGAGGTCCAGCCATCCTATCTTCTCATTTATTCAGAAAGGACACCAAATCTTCACCACCTCAACTGTCATAGATGGGGCTCTGAGTGTTTGGTTTTGGGGGTTTGTAGGCCTGATTCCTACCTAGCTAATGCAAAGGTGCTCACTGCCCCTGTGAGGGAGTGTGTGAGTGTGTGTGTGTGTGTGTGTGTGTGTGCAGGATAATCAGATGTAAATTTCTGCCACTGAACTCGACACATGCAACTGCCTTCCCTTATCTCTGTAGCCCCCCCCCTTTTTTTTTTTTAACCAGGGTTAGTGCACATGAAGCTAAAGAAAGCAGGAGGGACTGAGGCTGGCCACAGGAAGAACTTTTGAGTCAGTTTATCAATTAGTGCGAAGCCCTCAGGCCTGAGAGCTGACTCTAGTGCCCTACCTAGCTGCTTATGTGCACCACCCCCAAGACACCAGAATTCTGACCGAGGCTCACTGCTGTCTGGCATGGGTACAACCCAACCTGACCTTCCTAGGTCAAGCCCCAATGGTTGTTTCGAAGCTGGCTATAAACAGCAAGCTGCTGCCCCCCCCTGCGGGAGCCACGGCAGCCTTGAGAGGCTGTCAGTGCTGAAGCCACTCTCCCTGGGCTTCCTTTTGGGCATGTGGCCAGATGGGCTGGGGGCATTGCCTGGCTGGCTGGCATAGAGGGGAATAAGGTGCAGCACCCTAAGGTTTGACCCAGGGGGCTCTGGGAGTTAGGAACTGATGACCATTGCTCTCATTTCCACTGTGTAAGGCCTGCCATGGCCAAGGACATGCCATGTCTCTGTCTTGGGTAATTTCTCTCACTGGCCCTTTCTAGGATGTAGGAGATGGACATAGGTCAGATAGTGGGCCCTCCCACCTGCCCACCTGCTCTGTACTGAGTGCTGAGTGCTTTGGAAGATACCCCCCCAAAAAAAAAATAAGAGAAGACACTGCAAACATTTCTTGAAGCCCCTGAACAGAGAGTAGAAGGCGCTAAGCCTTCCCAGCTTTCCTGGATCCTAGATCCAGGGGCAGGGCACTTCCTCTGGCCGCCTTCCTGGTTTGGGGGGTGGGTCACGCAGGATGGGAAGGGCTTTTGTCCTAGTGTTGCTGAGTGTTTTTTCCTGCTTCTGGCTTCTCTGTGGCCCAAACCTTCCTGCTTCCCCTTCCCAGAACCTGTGAAAGGAGCCCAGGAACCCCAGCCACCATCAGCGATGCTTATGAGAGGCCTTGCAGACAAGCCCAAGCCCAGCCCTTGCAGCCCCTCGTGAGCCATCATGCTTCATCAGGCTGGGAGTCTGTGTGCAGAGCCTAGTCATGCAGGCCGGAAGAGCTGGGGCTGCCCAGTAAGCTGGTTCTCACCATGCCACGTTAGCTGCCTCTGAGCAGGGCACATCCTAGGTGATGGGAGGGAGGCTCTGTGGCGCTGAGACTGGGGTGGCACCTGACATGGGCACTGGGGGCATTAGAACAAACTGAACCCAGGAAGCTGCAGGGAGGGCTTAAAAACACATGTAGACTGTCAGTGAGCAGGTCCCTGGGCGCTTCACGTGGTGAGAAACAGAGGACCCAGTGGGAAAGCGCTGCTTCATTTGAGGGAGCCAAGGCTTTCTAGAGGTGGTCAGAAGGCAGGTCGAGGCATCCAATCTGTGGACTCAGCAATGAACTCTGCTCTTCTGGTCTCAGTTTACTCATTTGTAAGGTAGGGGGAGCTTAACTAACATTTTCCTAAAGCCTTATAAAGGCTGGGTGAGCTACAACAGTTAAAGAATTTGGCATGTGGCTCAGTCAAATTTGCCATGGACTCCATCAGTGGAATCGGCCCCTTCCTCTGGTCTGCCTGTATTTGTAGCATAAGGAAGAATCTACATTCCCAGGCTTTCCAGGAACAGCTCAGAGAAGGACACACAAGGCCCATGTACCTCTGAGCTCTGTAAAATGGGACCCACTTTGCCTCTGGTGGGTCAAACTTCTTACCTGAAGGGTGGGAGACTCACCTTCACCAGGCCCCATATTCACTACAAAGGAGAGGCCGGAGGAGGTAATAGGAGTCCATCTTGACCTCTGCCATCCCTCAGTGTTCCGCTCTGTTTCCCCTAGGGGCCCCCATGGGCAGCAGATAATTGCTCAGATAGATGGTTTATTGAGACACAGTAAGTCTGTCAGTACTAAGCTGATAAACAAGGGCTTAGCCAGGAGTGTGCCATGGCCAGCCATGGAGTGTCAGACCCTGAAGAATTACTGAGCTTGTTGGCCTTGGCTGCCAGGCCAATCAAACCCCAGGGGCTCCAGAGAGGCTTTCTGAGGGAGAGGTCAGCGCAGCACCATCAATACCCTTCTTAGATGCAGACGGCAGTGTCAGGGCTCCAAGATTTGTGGTAGGCCATAGGAGGGCCCAACGGACAGGCTGGGCTGTCCAGGGACTCCAAGCCAGGACTGCAAATGACCTCTGTTTCCAAGGTGGCAAGAGGAAGGTGGAAACCAGCTCTTTGGGCTAGAGACACCCTTACACACTCAATTCCTGTGGAGAGGGCAGGCAGCTGCAGTGCGTGTGCGTGTGCGTGTGCGTGTGCGTGTGCGTGTGTGTGTGTGTGTGTGTGTGTGTATTGGAGTTAGATGTCTGTGTGTCCATCTACCCACCCACACAAAGAGGTGGGCATGGCAAGGAAATTTGCTTGGCCAAGGGGAAGATAGAGCCCAGTAGGGCTGATCCAGGTGCCCCGAGCCTTCTGTAATGTCAACTGTGTCTGCTTTGTCTTGACGCAGAAGAGGGAGGAGTGCTCTCTCCTATCACAGATCAGGAAATCATGGTTGAGGAGAGTGCATGGCCAAGTTAAAAAAAAAAAAAAAAAAACTGAGGCGAAGGTTCTGGAGTGCTCAGCATAGGTCCATGCTGCAGCCTCCTGATTATCCTCCTCAAGCTGGGCCACCCAGCCCCAGGGCTGAGGTCTGGCTGAGCACCCAGGTCACTGTGACCCCTCTACCTTCTTCCAAGCTTGGCTGAGCCTGCTTATCTCCTAATGCTCCTCTTTATCGTTTCTCCTGCCCTGCTTCTTCCCTCTAGGCACAAGGGTATCTGTGCCTATGGCTGAGATGGGGGCAGAGCATGCCTAGCCGGGCCTGCTTCTGGGTCAGCCACATGGAGCCCTGTTTACTTTGCTGCCACTCTGACTGACCTGTAGGCTTCTTCCACTCAGATGTTTAGCTGTTCTCAGGGGCCCCCAAGATCCTCCCAGACCTCCCCCGCACCTGGTGTTACCTAGATGATCCTGTCTGGTTATCTGTCCTGAGTAGCTGTCACTGGGCAGGGATACAGGGCTCTAGCACCGTGCTTCTGGAGTTTTGCCTTACTCCTTGGAAAGGGTGATGGAGAGGGAAATGTGTGGAGGGCTGGGGAGTAGCCCTCAGTCAGAGGCTGGCTCTCTGTCGACAGTGATGGGGCTCAGGACGTGCAGAGGCCTGGGCTGGTGACCCAGAGAGGAAAGAGGTAAAGTCTGGCAGAAGCAGGTTCCTCCTGCTATCCTGCCCTGTGTGTTGGGGCAGGGATGGGCAGGCAGGGTCCTGAGGAGCCTGCATGACTGTCTGGCTGCTCGTTCCTCTCCACCCTCTGTCTTAGTTAGAGTTACTATTGCTGCCATGAGGCACCATGACCAAAAGCAATTTAGGGATGAAAGGGCTTATTTGGCTCGCATATCCTGAAACACAGTCCACTGAGGGAAGCCAAGGCAAGAGCTCAAACTGGACAGGAACCTGGAGGCAGGAGCTGATGCAAAGGCCAAGAGAGGAGTGTTGTTTACTGGCTTGTTCCCACGGCTTGCTCGGTCTCCTTTCTTATAGAACCAGGACCACCAGCTTACAGCGGTAGTAGGTTCCCCCCACATCGATCACTAATTAGGAAAACACCCTCTAAGGCTGCTCACAGCCCGACTTCATGGAGGCGTTTTCTCAGCTGAGGTTCACCTCCTCTCAGCTAGAGGTTCCCTCTTGCTGTGTCAAGTGGACATAAAACTAGCCCCCACACCTGCCTTCTCCTTTCTCCTCACCTGCCTGAGGATGCCCCAGAGAAGAGGAAAGGCTGCCCTCCCAGAGGACAGGTCTAGTTTCTAGGTCTAGTCATCTCTTCTTGGACCTGGGTTTGATGGCAAGATGAATATGGGGAAAATGTCCCTTCATCAGCCTCTTGCTAAGGCCTGAGGGGCCAACAGTGGCACGGAGGACACCACTCCTACCTCTAACACTCCAAAGGACCAGGAAAGACAGGCATGGATTGGTGTCTGTCCAATCTTAGTTCCAAATGGTAGTGAGAAAGAGGACTTGAAGAGGGCTTCATGGAGGAGGCAGCCAGTCTATGGGGGACTCTGAAGTCCTGGGTGGCAAGGTGGACAAGGACGCGTCATTTTTATACCTGGTGATAAAGTGCATGGGCCTGGGGCCACCCTGTGCTGTGCAACCTTAGGTAGCTTGCCTGAGCTCAGCACTCAGTTTCTTCTCCCTGTAAATTGAGTGATGACTGTCAACGGCATTGACAAGCCACACAGCAAGCTTGGTAGTCACTGCAAGGTATGTCCCTGGGAGGCCTGGGAGTACCTAGCCAACCTCAGTCCCATTCCTGGAAATGGTAGAAGAAGAGAACCTCTATATGCCCTTTCTCTCTCTCTCTCTCTCTCTCTCTCTCTCTCTCTCTCTCTCTCTCTCAAATTTAAAACCATTATCTTAAAAAGAAAGGCTTTGGGCTAGGTGGAGGAAAGGTGAATGGGGAGGGGATGGCGAGAGGAGGGAGAGGTTGAGTATAGGAGTGAACGAGGAAATGGTAATGTGCCGCTTCTCATGGCTCTAAGCAGAAGTTGCTCCTGTCGGAAGCCTCTGCCCTTTCTGTGGAAGGATGCAATGACCCCAGAGTTGGAGGGCAGTCATCAGGGACTGCACTCTCCTGGGCTCCAAGGCCCAACCACGTTCTGAGGATTAGGATCTGCCTTGCTCATTGTTCTGTTATTTCTGCAGACAGCTGAGGTATTCATGAGCCAGGTAGCCTCCTTTCTTCCCCAGGAGCCTAGGCACCTCAGCAGCTTCCTCAGGACCCTTCAGCCATGGTCACGGGCTCTCCACAGGCCAATGGCACAAGGGGTGAGGGCTGGTCTTCCCAACATTAGTCCCTAGTCTCTGAGATTTCCTGGGTGTGGGATACGAGACTGGCCATCTTCATATACTTGAAACGCTGTACAACTGAGAAAATAGAGGTCCAGAAAAATTCAGACAATATGTATAAGGTCATACACTTCATGAAAGACAGAGCCAGGACCTGAAGGAGGCCCTCACTGGGTCCCAATAAAGTAAACAGGTGGGTAGATGGGACTGAGTGGAGATCTGGGGTGAAGGTCCCAGGGGACAGTCCCCAGCTGGACCTCTGCATGATTCTCCCCTGCAGGTGGCTGACCAGATAACACTGCTGCAGAACTGTTGGAGCGAGCTGCTGGTGTTTGACCACATCTACCGCCAGGTCCAGTATGGCAAGGAGGACAGTATCCTGCTAATTACTGGACAGGAGGTGACTGAACTGGTCCAATCCTAAGTTCTGCATGATCCCAGACCTCCCTAGGATGGCTTGGGGTGCCCTGAATTCTAAATTGAGGGACACGTACTAGCCAGACTTCTGTGTCCTGGGGCCTTTTGAGGAGCCAGGGTGTAGGATGGCTAGGTGAGGTTCTTGCAGGAGATAACAGTGGGGTTGGATCTCCCCAAAATATGACAGAGTTGGCCAGTTGGTACTGAGGTGATAGGGGCAGTCTACATTGTCACACATGTAGAAACAGCAGGATCGAGGACTCAGAAGAGGTTCAGAGAACTGCCAAGGACCTGTGGGTTGGCAGGTATAAAAGATGAGGTTGCAGGCATTGCTAGGAGCTGGTAAGCAAGCAGGACCCTGTAGGATCCCTGCTCTCATAAATGATGAATTAATGAGTGAGCAAACGAATAAATGAAAGTGTGGGCAAAAGTCCCAGAGAGCTGACTCAGGACTGGGCCCCTTCAGAGCAGAGACTGTAACGCGACAGGGTGGGAAGCCATGGAGAAGGCCTGGAAACTCCTGAACACCGCCCCCAGGAGGTCGTTAGGGTTGCCAGTGGATGTGGGTGAAGGAGCCCAAAGTGCTGGGATCTGGAACCACCTATATAAAGAGGACAACACTCAGATGGTGAGAGGAAATACAGGGAGAGGAGTAGGAGGAAGAAAAGATAATTCCTGGAGACAGGAGCCCGCCCCCAGGAGGAGACACAGGTTGAATAGTGGGCACAGTCGATACCGGAACAAGATGCAGACTGAGGCCCTACTTTCCTACCTCGGCCCCTCACGACCTATGTCCCTCGTCATGGGTTCACACCTCCCGTGTTTCAGGTCGTTGAAAGCAGGAAGGGGGGTGCTGGTTCCAAGGGATGACCCTGGACCACAGGAGTGCAAATACAGGGTCTGGGATGTGAGTGAGTGAGGGCATACAGGCTGCAGGAGCATGCTGGGTCTGCCCATGCACCTATGTCTGAGTGTGTGACTCTGCACATACAGAGATGCGTGGGTGTCCATAGCTGCCTGCCATAGCATAAACACATATGCAGGTATGTGTCTGTGTTGCTGTGAATGGCCATCGAAGGGCGTGAGTGGGTGTGGCTGTGAAGACATGAGCAGCATAGCTTCGGTGAACAGGTAACAGCCTTGTGAATATATCTGCATGAGTGTGTGTGTGTGTGCGTGTGTGTGAAAGAGAGAGAAAGAGAAGGGGGAAAGAGGGAGAGAGAGAAAGAGAAGGGAGAGGGAAGGAGAAAGAGAGAAATGCAGGAGGAAGGGAGAGAGAGAGAAGGAAAGAGATGGGGAGGAAGGGAGAGAGAGAGGGAGGAAGGGAGAGAGAGAAGGAAAGAGATGGGGAGGAAGGGAGAGAGAGAAGGGAGGGAGAGAGAGAGAGAGAAAGAGATAGGAGGGAGGGAGGGAGGGAGGGAGGGAGGGAGGGAGGGAGAGAGAGCATGAGTTAGGTGGTGATGGACTGGCTCTTATTGGTGGCCATACACAGCATTTCCCGTGCTCAGGCCAAACTACCCCTGCTGCCTGCTCCCCTGCCCCAGGGAAGAAGGGCTCTTGTTGCAGTCAACAGTTCCCACTACTGGGCTGGCAGCAGCTCTCTGTAAATGAAGTATCCTTCAGCTCCCTAGTGTTCCCACTGCTTGGAGCCTGCCCCACTGCCACTAAAGAAGAGGCCAGCCATGGGGTGGGTGTTTAGCTTAGGCCAACAGATGGAACAAAGCTGGCAAAATGGCCCCCTTCTGCCCTGTGCCATCCCCGGCCCCCAGCCGCCATCCCTCTGCCCACCTCCCTGACTCGCCCTCTGCCGGTGCAGGTGGAGTTGAGCACAGTGGCCGTCCAGGCTGGCTCCCTGCTGCACAGCCTGGTGCTGCGGGCGCAGGAGTTGGTGCTGCAGCTGCACGCGCTGCAGCTGGACCGCCAGGAGTTCGTGTGTCTCAAGTTCCTCATCCTCTTCAGCCTCGGTGAGTGGCTCTGCAGCCTCTGCAGTGAAGCGTGGCAAAGACGCTGGGGGCCCCACTGCGCTTAGAGAGCCCAAGGGGCAGCGCCCTCCTTTAGGGAGTGACGCAGGGCCTGTGGTCAGGGCCTGCCTGGATGCTCCCTGGAGTATGGGGCCCTCTCATGGGGGTGAGGGCCCTCCTGAGCATCTGAATTGTTTCTGGCCGATCATTCCAGAAACTGCTCTGCATAGGTAACACACTTAAATGCCTATTGTGTTTAGACCTTTCCCCCCTGGCTCCCATCCTGGGGTCCTCACTTTCCCTAACTCCCTGAACTACAGGGACCCAAGTTCTGACTCTAGATCCCTTCACCCGTACATTGATTCATGCTACAAACATCTGCTGAACATCTGCCTGGTGCTGGGAGCAACATAGCAAATGGGAAAGAGCCCGACTGCTGCCCCCAGGGCCAGCCACTCGGGGAAACAGCAAGTGTCTTGTAAAGGGTGGAATGCATAGATGGGGATGCGCAGCAGCAAGATGCACCAGCACACGGTACACCTCAGAGAACCCGCGTCCCGAGACAGAGCTTGAGAGAGAGCGGCTCTGTTTGCTTTTGCGGGTGAGCAAGGTGGAGGATTCTTCAGCAGGGAAGCAGTCAGGGGAGGGCGGGCAGAATGGAGATGTGTCTTTGTGGCAGCCTGGCAGTGATGCTTCCTAGGGTGTGGGAAGTGTTTGCAAACAGGGAAGACGGGAGCTGGTGAGGAAGCCCAGTGCTCAGGCAGAGCTGGCCTCTTGCTGTGATCACGTGGCCAGGGACTCAGCCTGGCTGGGGCTCTAGAGAGTGTTAGGAAATGGCATCAAAGTTACTGCCTTAGAGTGTGGCAGAGCCTTAGGGGCTGGGCTAGGGAGGATCCTGGGTGGGGGTGGCGGGCAGAGAGGGGTTCTCAGCACCAGTCAGAGCTCCATCGAAGAGCTCCAAGAGGACCTCGCAGCCCCGTTTCTCCTACAACTAAAGCTACTAGGTCCAGTTGGACGTTGGCCTCCCTTTGGGACGCCCAGCCTGCTTCCACATGGGGCTGTGCTTTTAGTGGTGCCTTGACTTAGGGTGGCTCAGCCTCCTCCATAGGTTAACTTTATCTCCAGTAACCGAGAGATCAGGGCTGGAGGGGAGAGCGTGGGAAGGCTTGTGTACATGCGTGGCTGCCTGGATTCTAACTCTGGTCCCTCTGGCTTTGTGAGTTGAGGGAGTCACTCACTCTCTGAACCTCTGTTTCCGAATTTGTGAAATGGCAGCTGTAGTGTCCTTGGCATGCTGCAAAGATATAATGAGATGATTCTACCACAGTCTTAGCCCTCAGAAGTGTGTGCTGATGTTTTAATTAATCATCCTTATTAATAAATCCTCATCCATAAACAAATGAGCCAGAGTGAATGACAAACCAGGCTCCAGGCTCAATCTTTATTTCATGCTTTGTGTCCAGCCCGGGCCTTTATTGTCTCTGGGCATAGGGACTCAGGTCTGGCCACAGTGGCTAAGGAGTTCTTAGCTCAGTGGGCCTGAAATTGGGTAAGGTTAAGGGTATCAGAGGCACAGAAGACAGTGAGTCTGGGGCTTGAACCTATTGGAGCTGAGAACGTGGGAACAGTGACAGAGGCACGCTGGGTCACAGAGTTCTTGGAAAGAGGCTCCATATTGGCAGAGGAGGTGAGCAGTCCCATATGATCAGAGTTGGGATAGCTCTGCCCTGGTCTGGAGGAAGGATGAGCGGATATATCTGAGCTGGGACTGGCAGTGTGAATAGGAGTGTTCTGGTGAGACAAAAGGAAGGAACCTCCCTGTTGCAAATTATGGGAGGAGGATAGATAGAGAGAAGGCCATAAGGTAGATAGAGGCTGAATTGTATATGGCCTTGGTTACTGGGTACCTGGAGCCTTCCTCTGGGATGGCTCCCGTCCTGGGAATAACATGACCACCTCACGTCTGCACATCATCATAAGGCCTGTCCAGCCACAGCCTGGGATAGGATGGTGGGTAGATAGCCCAGAGCATTGCAGCAGACAACACCTCTAGCGAGGTGAAGGCGGGTGGCCCTCTGACCCGGAAATGCAGGGCACCTCATCAGAGCTGAGCTTCCAGGAAGACCAGGACTCATAACAGGACTTGATCACTTGTCCACAGACTTCCAGTCAGTCTGCCTGTGGCTCCGTATCACCGCACTGGGCCGGGCAGCCTCAACCCCATGCAGTGACTGTCACCCACCCACCCCGTCCCCCTCTACACGCCTCCTTCTCGCCCGTCTCTGCAGAAGGGTGCCATTTGGCGTCTAAATAGCATCTCAGGCAGCTCAGAGGCAGGTAAGGAGGCTTAATTAAAATTAGTGCCTCTCTCCTGGCAATCGCAGTGTTTATGAAGATGGGCCCGGCCGGCATTGTTCCGCCGAGGACTTAATCGAAGCTTAATGGATTGACCTAACATTCGATTTCCTGATTCCCATTGAGGCGCACGGCAGCATTCCCTTAAGCGTTTGCAATTTACCCACCGCTCCAAGCCAACAAAAGACGGACTGAATAGCAGTGCCACTCGAGGGGCCATTGTGCGCGGGGGCGCCTGCCTGAGTCACTGCTATTGGGACAACATTCTTTATGCCTCGCTGGAATGAAAAGATTATTCAAATATTCAATTAAACCGTGAAAAGGGGGCTTTTCTGAGATCCTGGGGGCCCCCAGCTCATGGAGCTAGCGGCTGCTCCCAGGGTTGGGTGCTGTCTCCCACCCCCTCCGCCTCCAGGGATGTGGGCAGAGCCATCACACTTGCAGGCTCGGGCCCAGGCTGGCACCCAGCAAGGGTCCCTGTCCTGACCTGCCCCATCTTGTAGAAAACAGGTTCAGAGGTGCCTCTGGTTGCAGAGCTGGGGTGTGAAGGGAGAATCTCTAGGCTGTGGGACGCCTGTTCCTGGGTCTGAGAGGTAAAGGGCACCCCGCTCAGTACACAGTGGCTCTAGTCCTTAGACTCTCCATGACAAGCTGGGGCCTGGGAGAGCTGGGGAAGGTAGAGAAGAAAGGCGACAGATCTGAGGCTTCCAGGTGAGGGAGAGGTTAGCTCTGCAGAACCAGGGTGGGACTCCTAGACAAACCCCCTAGATGGCAGAGGCATAATGCCCCAGAGTCCTAAGGAAGCCTCACAGCCCTGGGAATCCCAGCCTCACCCTGCCCACGGCAGGAAGCCCTGAAGCTCCTGGAATCAGGCAGGCTTGGGTGTGCAATATGTGGGTGGTCTCGGCACACTGCACTCCTTGCCGTCTAGGTGTCTGAAGGGATGAAGATGAACAGGGAGTCCGTGAAGCTGGTCCCAGCTCCGGTCTGTGGCTGCTGTGTGTGCTGTCACTCTCCATCCACCCTAGAGCTGCCTTCGCGCCCCAGAGTCTTGGAGGTCTTAATATGTGTGAACTGAGAGACTAGAGGCCTTCTTAGAGAGGGGCTGTCGCTGAAAGTTGTCCTTGTCCTGCACCCTCCCCCTACTATTCCACTGTGATCATGAGTCCCTGGTGCTTGTTGCTGAGAACACTAAATCCTGGTAAAGCTGGAAGCCTAGGCCCCAGTGTCCTCATCCCCTCCATCTGAGCAGCATCCTGTCCCATCCTCCTCCACCTCAGCTCTTTCCTCTGCTCCCCTTTACTGGGTAGCCTTGAGACAGACCCCATCTTTCTCCAGTTCTGAATGTCAGAATAGCCCAGGGACGGTATGGAGGCGACGGTGGATAATACAGGGATGGGAAAGGGTTTGGGGCAAGGACAGATGGGATTAGTAGGCATCTCTTGCATCCAGGAGACCAGCTTGGTGGAATGACATCCAATGGTCACCTTTAGATGTACCTGGAGCTGGCCAGGCCAGGGAGCTGGGTTGCTCTGTACAGCTGCGTTGGTTTCGCTGTTTAGGGACACCGAGGCAGGGAAGAGCTGGGATGGAATCTAGGTGTATCTCTCTAGACAAAGAGCTTTTTTTTTTTTTTTTACTAAAGGGCATAAATATGTCTGTGAGCTGATGGCCACCCCAGGGAGGGGAGGAAGAAAATGACTCTGGCTCACTTGTTAGAGGGTGGTGGGAGTCAGGGTAGAGGCCAGCAGCTGCCAAATCCTGCCATACGACACAGGCCCAGCTCCGGTTTCCCTAAATCCATCTTTGGACAACACAGGCCTCAGCGGGTGTGCCGGGGGCGGCTGAGGATCAGGGTTGCCAAGCACTTCAGCAACCCTGGCGCAGTGGGTGTTAAGAGGGATTAGAGGGCGAAGAGCGTGTGCTGGTTGAACTCCCCCACAGGAGAAAGACTGGGGTGCCCCAAGGGAGGAAAGTGACCCATCTTCTGAACCTCTGGAAGCGACAGCCCAAGGGAGACCAAGATAGGCTTTGAGGGTTGGGGACCGATGTTAAACTCCTAAGCAGGACATGAGCTGAGACAGGCTGAGAGAGGGGCTGAGTGACAAGGAAAGGACCCAGGCACCCTATTTCCAGCCTGAGGAAAAATGACCTTTTATGCGGAACAGGCAGGGACTCTTCCACAGGGCGGCTTACTCCCAAGCAAAAACCTCTTTTGTGTCTAACTCAGGACTAAGGCCCGAGGATGCACTGATCATACTTCAGCCTCAGCCACATTTGGTCCACACCGAGCCACCTGCTCCTCTCCCTCCCATTGGGAGCTGTCCCTCCATGTCTATCTGCAGCTTCATGGTCACCATTGTTCTCACACAGCTTGTCTGTGTGGAGAGGGCTAGTGAGCCAGCCAGCCAGCCTGCCTGTCTGCCTGGCCGCCTTCTTCCCGCCCTCCCCCAACCCTCTCTTTTCTTTTTCTTTTTTTTTTTTTTTTTTTTTTGATAGCGTAGAGCCTATATAGAACCGGGGCCTGTGTGTGCCGGGCTAATGGTATACTCTAAGCCACACTTTGGCACCATTTTAAATTTATGTAAATGGCTTTGCCTTGCAAACTTCCAGATCTTCCCATTCTCTCTTACCTCCCACTCTGCCCTGCTTCTCAGCATGGCTCCCCGTCCATCCCATGACTTCCCAGATGTAACTGACACACAGCCACCTAGGCCCCTCTTCCTTACCACGAACAGTGCTGCAGAGAAGCTGACCCCAGCGTCCCATGACTGCATTTATGGACCCTCTTTCCAGAGCATGTCTCATGGGCCTGACAGCCCAAGACAGGTCCTTTTCACAGTGATGTTGATGGCGATGTTTAGGGTGGCTGGGATAACGGCCATAAAAAGACTTTGACAAGTTTTCCCACAAGCCAGTACTTTACATCCTTGGTACATTTTATAGAAGAGAAAATGGAGAGGTGTAAACACCCCACTAGCGATGCATCTGCTGAGGTTGCTGGTGGTCTTGGTGATTGTCAAGTATCCATGGTGACAGCAGCAGTGATGATTGGGCCAGAGACACGGTTTAGTGGTTGGTGATGGTAGTGGCCGTACTGGTGATAAAACCACACAGATACAGGGATTTTCCAGGTGTGGTGGCACATGCCTTTAATCTCCTTGGAAGGCAGAGACAAGCAGGTGGATCTCTGTGAGTTCAAGGCCAGCCTGGTCTACATAATGAGGTTCAGGCCAGCCAGGAAGACACAGTGAGATCCTGTTTCAAAAAGAAAGAGAAGAGGAAAGAAAAAAGACAAAGAAAGCACAGGGACACGCTTGGGGACACTAAGCAGTGATGTCACTGGTGGAGGCCATAGGGTGGAGACTTGCCACCGAGGCTCATGGCAGTCTCTGCACCCACAGGTTGCCGTCTCCCGGGGAAGTGGTGTTGGTAATATTGGTGATGGTGCCAGCCCAGCTGTGGTGGCAGCACCATGACGAGAGGGTGATGGGCTGCTCCTGTTGCAGATGTGAAGTTCCTGAAAAACCGTGGCCTGGTGAAGGATGCCCAGGAGAAGGCCAATGCCGCCCTGATGGATTACACCTTGTGCCACTACCCGCACTGCGGAGACAAGTTCCAGCAGTTGATATTGTGCCTGTTGGAGGTGCGGGCACTGAGCATGAAGGCCAAGGAGTACCTGTACCACAAGCATTTGGGCAACGAGATGCCCCGCAACAACCTTCTCATCGAGATGCTACAGGCCAAGCAGACTTGAGCCTGGCGCCAGGCAGCGGGCAGTCGGCAGGCGTGCCACTGCCTCCAAAGGACTCATTGCATTAGGTGACCTGGGAGCTTTGTCCCTAGGCCCCTGCCCCTGAGCTCCAGAGCTGTGTGTTTGGGATGAAGGGCAAGGATGGGCAGGGACGCTGGGGTACGTTGCCTCCACCAGCCACCTGGCATGTGTCTGCCACCCAGAGTGCCCCAAAGGGGTGGCTTCTAACCACTCCTTCATCTGCCCCCAGCTTTTTTTCCTGGCATCTGAGGTACAGATCCCAGGAGAAGGCTTGGGTTTCCCTAATGGGCCTGGATGTCCCTTGGGTCAGAGGTCATTCTTTCCCTCTCTCCTGTAATCAGAGGCAAAGGAAAGTCTGTAGGTATCAGTGAGGGCAGAGGAGGGGTCTCCAGACTCCCCTGAAGAAGGGAAGGAAGTCCACTGTTATAAACTGAGTTTGCTACATTGGGTCCCTAGAGGGTGCCATGATCGTGGGTAGGGCTAAAGATCCCTGGCCAGCCCTCCACCCATCTGATTCTGATCCATTACCTGAAAAAGGACTTTGTTGTGATCACCCTTCTCCCAGGTCCCAGCCACCCAGGGAAGAAGAGTCTGGTGTAGTCAACATTCCAGTCCTAGCTCTGCCCACCCAGCTGTCTGGGCTGGTAGTTATCCACCAGGTTGTAGCCAACAGGGGTCTTTTCCTCTCACCTAGACAGTCCTTGGAAAGTGCGTGAGAAAGGAACGGCAGGGGACAGATTGAGCACTGAGCTGGGGTATAGGGCTTAGCACCAAAGTTTTTTCTCCCGAAGTCTGTTCCAAGAGTCAGGGTGGCACCTGGTCATCTTTACACAACCCACCTCACTCCTGAAAAGAGCTGTTGCTTGCCTTCTGCCCCAGCCCCACTGTGGGAGCAGCAGGAGGCCTGCAGGTGGGGATATGGGTGAAACTAGGAGAATTCACGGATCTTTCTTTAGATGAGCTCAGTGCAGAGGACTCTCTCATGGCTCCATTTTTTTGGGTCCCTTGTCACAACCCTTGAAGCTGGGCTCAGTTCCCTGGCCTCTGCTTTGCGTCTGAAAGTCACTCTGCAGGGCCAGGCACTGGGGGGTGGGGGACCTAAGCTATCCTCTGTTTCAGACTGGGCATCCACTGTCCTTCCTGCTTTTCATGTCAGATTTACAGCTTATGCTAGGTCTGCCCATCTGGACAAGGCTGTCTCCTGTCTTCTATCACCCTGGCTCAGACCCCACCTCTGCCCCTGAAATGCGTGCCCCCGCCAAGGCCAGAGACCCTCAGCACTGACACAAGAAGTGCCCTTATAAGCCCCTGCAGCCCTGCAGCCCTGAAATAAATTTTGCAATTAGTTTCCAGTAGCATTTGTGAATTTTGCATTCTGAAGCAAGGCATAGCCTCTTGGGGTAGGTTCTGGGTGGTGGTGGTGGTGGTCTGCCTGTCATCAAAATGGTGTTCAGCTCAAACCTCTGGGGAGGGGAGCTGTTGAGATGGCTCAGCAAGTAAAGGTATCTGCCAGGCCTGATAACCTGCATTCAGTCTCCACAGTCCACATGGTGAAGGAGAACTGCCTCCCATCAGTTGTCCTCTGACCTGTGTGGAAAACACACACATAGGACCTGCAGAAGAAGCCAGTCAACACCCCAGCATGGATAGGAGAGGAACTCACAGCCCCCCCCCCAGCTACAGAGCTATTGGCTGTCAATAGCTTCTTCTGGGGGTAGGAGAGTCAGATTTCTTCAGGGACGTGACCCTAATCCATGCGTCAGTGCTATATTGAAAGGCCCTGCACCCATGTACATACAGGCTTCACTAAATGGACTGAGTAGGTCATAAAAATTAATGAAGGAAGACAAAATGTGGGAGGGGAATATGGAGAGTCCTGGGAATTGGGCTGTGGGAGGTGGGTATGATCTAAATACATTGTGTGTATCTGACATACATGTGTGTATACATACATCTCATACACACTGAAAATATGAAAAGAAATGAGGTGGAAGAGGGTTGTAGAGCCCGGGGTGTAGAGACAGTGGGTGCCGTTGGGCTTTGGGCTGCACCCTGTTCCTGTATACATGAGGCTTGGGAGATGCTGAGACTTTCTGGGGTCCCGACTCAGCTCTATCCTGCCGTGCTAGCTCTGCCCCCACAGTGAAAGAGCCTTCATTTCATGAACAACTTGTTAGCCCCCTGTCCTTGTAGCAACTCCAGCAGTGGTATAATCCAGGAGGAGTGCTCTTCTCCAACAAAGCAGGGACCCAGATTCCAGCCTGGGTCTCCCTTCTTCTCGGCAGTCTGTCCCCATTGCTGATGAGTCCTCCCCTCCCGTCCTGCTAGGTGGCAGCACTGAGCTTGACCAATGCCTGAGTGCCCCAGGACCTCAGGCCCTGTTGGATCTGTTCTTCCAAGGCACCTTTGTAGGTTCCCCACATTCACACAGCTGAGGAGGGGCCTGCTCATTGTGTGAGCTTCCACTGTCCCACCCACTTTAACCAATCCGATTAACGGAGGGCCACACCTGGTCCACCCAGGGTCTCTGAAACAACCAGAAAAAGGTTCTGCCACCCCTCCAGCGGGGGGTGGGGGGGTGGGGGGTGGTGGCAGAAAAAGATGTTCCTTTCCTGCTTCACGCCTGTCCCAGGGCAATCTCCAGGCTTAAAGAAAACTGTCTTAGTTAACCAGATTATGTGACGTGATCCCTTATGTAATTGAACCATAAATAAGAAAGTCACGTGAGAAGGCTTCACAGCTGAGGGTCATGGTCATCCAAAAAAAAAAAAAGGTTTTTTAAGGATGCCTAGAATTCACCAGCTTAATAGAAATGAAGATAGTCCAAGCAGAAGGAACAGTGTGACAACAAAAGAAAGAGGAGGATGCCAGCTGACTGTGTTTGGCTGGAGCATAGATGGTGTGGGAGGAGGAAGAGGTGTGTGGGATGAAGGGACGGAAAGAACCCTATAGTCCTGTCCCCTCACCCCCGAACCTTTATGGCAGAACAGGGACCTTCTGCAACGGAAGGGATTCAGAGCGCATGGAAATGCAGGTGGTTATGGGTCACCAAGGAACCGCTCTCTTCTACCTCTCTGCATGCCCCTGACTTCCTAGCCCCAGGGGGAGGGTTCTGCCGGGGCTGAGCACGTATTCTGCTGACACTCAGCAAAGCCCCTGCTCCAGAATGAGTGGACAACCAGCTAGCCTTTCATCCTCCTGGGCTTCTGCCTGCCTTCCCAGCGAAAGGCAGAGCTCTGCTGTCGTCTCGCTTGTGACTCTCTGGTCTGCCCTCCCAGAGCTTTTGATGTCTCCAACGGTTTCCTCTGTGCCTACAGCCTGCATGTCTCTGCTCACACCTGGCATTCTCTGGGCGCCTACTGTGCGCAGGGTGCATGTCATACCCCAAACTAGCGGGGTCTGTATCACAAGGTCTTCTGAGAGAGTGCCTGCTATCCCCCATTCTGTGACTGACTGAGCGTCCACACCCTAGGTCCCCAGAAAGAAATGCCTGGATCTCTGGGCTTGCTTAGGTGAGCTGGTGTTCTCCAGAAATGGTGTCCCAGTTGCAGCCCAATAGGATGCAGAGAGGAAGCCACCAAGGCCCCTGGAACTGTCTGTGCCTCACTGGTTCTTAGGGGCTTCCCACTCACCCTGCTTTTCTGATTCACCTGCCCCCACACACCCCGACCCAGCTTTGTAGCCCTGATGGAGGCGGGCTGGATGGTATTGGCAATCCTTGACCCCAAAGCCCCAGTCTGGGCTCTTTGTTTTCTGGCCTCTCTCTTGGGCCTCCTGGACGTGAGCCCTGACGTTGAACCCAGCACACCTCTGCTTCTCCTGGCCCTAAAGCCCATCATGCCCTCAAAGAGATGGGGACCTGACTGGTGTCTGCACAATGGGGGGGGAGGGTACCCTGGCCTGCCTTCAGATGACTTGCAGGCAGGCTCCTCCTCAGCAAGTCGGCCATTCCCCATCTCCCAAGGGAATCCCAGCTACCTGTGAGCTACTAGTGATGCCTGGCCTAGGAAACTGCCTAGGTGTTTTGGGCCCACACCCACTGCGCATGCCCTTAGGCTGCCCGAAGGGAGGGCCCAGGACGAAGGCATTCTCCCTGCGGAGTGAGGAACTACAGCCTCACCAGGACACAGCCTCTGCTGAACAGGTACCTGCTGGGCAGAAGAGACGACTCAGGAACTAAAAGCAAGGGCCACAAACCCTGATGACTTGAACTCTGTGCCCAGAGCCTACATAGTGGAGGAGGAGGAGAACTGACTCAGGTGTGCCGTTCCCTGACCTTCACACACACATCCTGACACATGGGCAAATACAGCCTGTTTTATCAAAATGCTGGCTAGAACTACCAAGCCCGGCGATAAAGCTGAATCCCAAAGTCAAAAGGGCAGCGTCTCTGGCTCCCCTTCCTCCCTGACAGGCTTGCGCCTCCACCTCTTCCTGGCTAGGAGGACTCCGAGGTAGCACAGGCGGAAAGCTTCAACACCTGGTTTATTACCAGACTCTTCAGGGCACATCTACAAAGTGAGAGGAATCAAGACAAACAGAAGGACCTTTTCTCTCTCACTTGGGGCTGCCGGGTGTGCATTTCATTCAGTCTGGGGTTCCGACGCTGAGCTGAGGTCCTCTGGCCGCTGAGCTCCCGAAAGGAGGAAAACCCTGCACGTGCCCTTTAGACCCCTGTAAGGAAAGTGACCCTTTCTTAGGGGCAGGGCCGGCAGGAGTGGCCAAAATTAGGCAGGGTCTGGGAACAGAGACTTGGGGGGGACCCTGCCATCCCAGTCGGCCCCTCACGGTCTCCCCGAGACTCCGTTTCTTTCCACAGCAGAACACCTGCGTGCCCCAGGGTCCCCAGAGCTCTGGGAAAGGATGCACCACGGGCAGCCATCCTTCGCTGGGACCTTTCCCCAGGCTGCCTGAGTGCGTGGCTGGGAGGCGCCGGGAGCGAGAAGCGGGGCTCGTCGGGCCAGAGTTGCGGTCGGGAGGGTGGGGCCAAGGTGGAAGAGGCTTCGTTGCCAAGAGCAGCCCTAGCAACGCACCCTTTCAGCTGAGACAAAGGCACAGAGGCGCTGCAGTGGCTCTTTTTCTCGCAGAACGCGCTGTGCCTCCTGGGTGGGGGCGGGGTGGAGGGGGCTGGGCCCCTCGGGTGAGGGGGCTGCTGCGCGCTCTGATCTTGCCTAGTCCTGCGTCCCTGATCTTCCTGTAGGGGGCGCTCCGGCCCCTTTTAGCAGACCGGAAGCTGAACGTGCAAAGCAGCTGAAAGCCTTGGGCTGTGATCACACCCCCATGACAAGCACCACGACTCAGCTGGCCCCTTCTGGGTAGATGAGCCTGTCTCTTGATGAGACACGGGATGCCTATCTGTGGCTCCTTTGGATGCCTTGGCCTCCTCCTCTGCACACTTTGAGAAAAGCAGCCTCCCAGACTGCTTTGGACCAGAGCCAAAAGGGGACTGGATATGGGGTCACTGAGCCTAGCCCCAGCAAGAGTTCTGGAAGCAGGTTTCTATTCCTGCCATGATGTAGTGTTCGTAGCTAGATATTGCTGGTCTAAAATTGGGGGAACTAGGGGACAATGAGGTTAATGGTGACTGGTGTCTCTACTGTCCTCTAGAGGGAGGCTGAGCCCCACCCCAAGCCCTACCTGGGTAGGGCCTGAGGTGTGTCCAGCCTAGCCCGCTGCCCACAGGTCCACTGTCATGTTCTATGTGCCACTGGGTTGGGGAAAACACTTGCCCTGGGGTTTGGAAAGGCTCGGAAGGAGTCTTTCTTTAAGGACTCAGTTGCACAGGGTAGAAGCTGGAGTCTGGGACAGAGATCAGGGACTAAGAGACAGGCAGGTTGCTTAGCTGGCCGGCACCAGCTCCAGGAGGGGTTCCACCCACTGTTGAGTCTCTACGTGGTTGAGTCTCAAATCACTTTCATCTTGGAGCAGTGTGGCAGAGGAGAAATGGGGGCGTCTGCCCAGGAAGAGAAGTACCTGAAGTCCTGAATGCAGTCAGCTCCACGGCCTAAGAGAGAGAACAGGAAAGAGAAACCCTTTCTCCTGCTCCCTATTCTCTGGGAGCTCTTACTCCTACCCAAAGAGGCCTTGGATGTTAGGTCTGCCACCCTGAAGGCTATAGCTTCCCAGTACCGAAGACAAGGTCCCTAGGGTCAGTGTCCACCTACCCTGTTCTAGCCTTTGCTATGTTCCCAACCCTGCTTTGTTCCAAACACCACACTAGCTGGTCCCTTGTTCTAGCCTTACCGGTCTCCTGGGTTCTGCAATGGAAGAGAAGGCTGTGGAGATCCTGGGTCCATGGGTCCCTAGTAAGAGGAGATATTCGAGTTGATGAATTGTGCATAGGCTAAGACATTAGACACCCTAAAAATCCACTCAGAACTTTATTCTCAGATTAGTGGTGAGGAAACTGAGGCTGAAGTACTTAAACCCAGCTCTTGTGTCAGGGGCTCAGGTCTACTTCCCTGCTAGGAACCCTGGGACAGGAGTCCTGGGTAATCCCCACCTTTGGTTGGACACCCAGCTTTCCCCCAAGATCCAATATTAGAGAGTTTTTGAGGCCTCAGCTTCTTTGTCTTTCAAGTGGGCTTATAGACTCTGCTGTTATTCTCCTAGCTCTGGTTCACTGGTGGAGAAATCAAGGCACCATATAGCACTTGCCATGGGGGTAGAGAGGTTGTACCTCTGAGAGCAACAGGTCTTCTCAGAGGATCCCAGGCTGTGGGGTTCTCCAGAGCCATGGCCCAGGGACCTGAAGCTTGTGGGTCAGAAGGACCAGAGAGTGTCTGAAAGGAGAGCTGTTGTGCTTGGCCTTGCCCATCTGGCCCCAAGGCTCCTCACCCTTACCCTTGGTCAGGTGCACCTGCTCTGCCCTGAGCACCTCAGCTGCCTTCTTCTCCGCCATCCTCCGTAATGCATGCTGCACCTGCAGGGTGGCGCAGGTCAGGACTGGATCCTCCCTGGAGCCCTGAGGGTGGGTCCATTCTTGGATCTGTGGAAACCAGGGCTAGGGGGGCTCCACCCTCCCTTGATTTCTTTCCCACAGCCTGCTCACCGTACTCACCTCCCCATTGTAAACAGCGTAGACAAGGAAGATGTATGGGCCCTGAGGACAGACCTCGTGTCAGCAAGAAGGAACATTCACCCACCCTGTGGCCTGGCCTCCTACTTTGCTTGGATCAAGAGCCCAGGACCACAGTAAAGACACTGAGTGACAGTGAGTAGCAGGAAGAACTCAAAGCCTGCCCTGCCCTCCCTCTAGTCCACTTACACCCACTGCAGCCCCCACAGGGGTAGAGAGAACACCTTCTTAAAGGCCCAAAGCTAAGTCCTTTGCCCTGTGCCTCGGTCTAGGGGCCTGGTCTCTTGCTTCCTTTGGTGACTGAGTGTGAAGGGCTCAGCATTCCGGGGTAGAGGGGAGCTGGCTCCTTTCCATAGGTTTATGGACCAGCAGGGTCCTGCCACTTACAAAGTACCACCATATTTAGGTCTCATGTGGCCTCATTTGATGGACAGAGAGTCCTAACATAGTGTTGGGTCAGACTTGGAACCCAGAACTTACTCAAGGATGATGTGACAACATAAAAGGCAGCTAACTGTTCAAGTCTGAGGCCAAGACCAGAGAACATTGGACTCCTAGGTTTTCCAGCCCTTGGGCCCCTGTTCCCAGGCATAACTGAGTTGACACATGACTTTTTAACCCCTAAGACAGATGACTAAACTCCAGAGCCAGCCTGTCTCTTCCACAGCCCCTGCGTTGCCTTCCCCACGCATTTCCTTTTTATATTCTTCACCAGCAAACAAAAGCATCTTTCTGAACTCCCTCCCAACTCTACCACCCCATGCTGGACATCATCCATGGATCCCACCCTCTACAACATCAGAGTTCCTTACAGCAACTTTAGAGTCCCTCCTGCCCCATTTCTCACCAGCCTTCCTCATGTTGCCCATTCCCGTGGGTCCCAGAATGACCCCCTTTTCGTATAGCTTCCACACCTTAACTGAGAACCAGTCCTTTCCCATAAGTGGTCCCTCCATTCCCGCACTGCCTTAGCTGTCCTTTGGCCTCTCAGCCTCAGTGGTAACCGGAAGTGGTAGGGCAGTGCAACATGCACTATGTTTTCTGGGGAGTGAACCAGCAATGGCCTGGCGGTGGAGAGCATCTGTGAAAGTATGAATGAGTGAATGAATGAGTGAATGAGTCCCCATTCATAGAGCTTTGGTGTGCATCAGGTATTGTGTTCAGCGCTTTGTAAAGGTTATCTTAGTTGGGCCACCAGAAGATTCCCTGAGGTGTGGAGAACTTCATTCGCCATTAGACGGGTCCACCAAGGTAGATGTGAGTGACAGCTGGTTATAGAAGTGAGACATTGCTCTCCTTCTACAAGGTCAGACATAACGGGCCTTAAGAAAACAAAATCAGTCCTGAATAATAATAGTAGGCCATTCTGGCCTCTCTGGACCTCATCACCATCCTGAGGTATATCCTGCCCAGTTTATGCCCAAGACAGAAGGGCAGGACTGGAAGTTAGTGGAGGAAGAAAGAGAGACAGAGAGAAAGTGTGGCAGAAAGAAGAGAACAAAAGAAAGGCCAGGCCTGGGGACAGTCACAAGGGATCCAAGCACACAGCCTGGAATTAGTCAAGGACCTGCCTGACAGCACCACATCCCAGGAACCAGAAAAAGGCCAGAGAAGGAACCTTGGAAGGGAGAGAGCTTAGAGGATGGAGAAGAGCCCAGGGGTGATGGCAGAAAGAAAATATCAACAGGGGGCAGGGAGACAGAGACGACAGTGACAGCCTGAGAGACAGAAAGAACCCGAGAAAGTTCAGAACCAAAAGAAGCCACAAGTAGGGGAAAGGAGAAGGGAGCGGGGAGAGGGAGATGGGGAGTCTAGAGTGTTCCACTGGTTATATCTGTGACCTAAACCCCCCCACACACACCAGCAGGGCTGGAGAGCAATGCTGGCCATAAAGGGGTGCCAGCAGCAAGCTAGAGTAATCACCATGACAACAAGCTTCTGTCACCTTCGGTGTCCAGTGTTGAGCTAGAAAAAACTCCCCAGGGTCACTCAGAGCTGGGAGAGAGCCCCTGATGGGGATCTGGAGCTATGTCAGGAGAGGAACAGCACCCAGGGCTCTGCTGCTTAGGTCAACACGGTCCTAGAGACTACGCTTACTCTCTATCATCGTCAGGATCCACCTTGGGGAGGCCCTCGTATGACACAGCAAACCCCGTTCTTCTTGCCTCCCACATGTTTGCACGTGTTTGTGGGGGTGTGCACATGTATTTCTGCAGATGTGTGAGCCCATATAGATGCTTGCACGTGGTGGCCACAGGTTGATGCCAGGTCTCAACCTCCATTGCTAAACCTCCACTTTACCTTTTGACACAGGGTCTCTCGCTGAACCTGCAATTCCCTCATTCAGCTAGTCTGGCTGGCTAGTTAGGGGGTAAAGGACACAAGGACTAGGCCTTCTCCTGTCCCTGCCTAGTCCCCTCACCACTGTGCCACCCTTTATCTGTGTCATGATTGGCCTCCATTTCCCAAATGTCACCTTCAATGTTACTTTTCCCCTTCTTTCTGCTGTATTCCCAGCACCTCACGTTATGGTGGCATGCCACCGGCTGTGGCATGAATGGATGAGGAGTGGTTAGGGCTCCCCTCCTGAGGACTGTGCCAGGACCTGGCTGCAGCCAAGCTGACCACCCCAAGGACTAAGAATCCAGACACTGGATGTGGACCCATCTTACTTCTTGCTGCTTTGAGGCCTTGGGCAAGCAACTGGACAAAGCCTGGGTTTTGAGATAAAACTATGAGCCGGGTCAGAGCAATCAATCACACAGGCATCAGAGGCAGGGCCTACCACCTCAGCACTCATCTCTGAGGGAGGCTCACTGCTCTGAGGACACAGGACCCTAGACAGGAGTTTGCCCTTGATTTTGGAAGCATGCCTTTGTTCAGCCTTGCCCTGAACCTGTTCTTCTTTTTGACCCTGTAAGGGAGTGGGGGTAGGGCTAGCTAGCATGGACAAAGGAGACAGTCTTTCAAGGGTCAGGGATAGCAGTGGTAGTGACCACTTCTTGGGGCTCTCAGCCTCTTACCATCTACTCCTGGGGCTAGCACCATCTGTTCCTGACTGGGTCCCCAACGGATCTGTGTAGAGCCTGTAGACAGGGACACTCAGGTGCCCAGATGCTTCTCTGCCACCAAGCCATGATGGATGGCTTCATTGTGTGACTTCAGTATCAGTCTTCTGATTGAACCCTTCCTTAGCCCTTTGCTACCACAGATGGGGTGACCTGAGCCAACCCCACAGTGGGCTAGAGATACCTAAGGAGAGGGCACAAGTTCTCTGTATGCCCTCACTGACCTCCTGGAGACCCTTGATGTGGCCAAGACACCATAGTCTTTGACCATCCCCTTGATAGGCCTCATCCTCCTCAAGTGACTAATGAACCAAAAGTCCTTCATCATGCCTCACTTGTAGATATAAGGGCACCATTTGCCACATCACCTTTATCTCCTCTTTTTGCAGAATGCCCCACTTTGCTGTTGGATGCCTTCTGTGATGGAGGCTCACCCCCTGCTCAGTCCTGGCAAACTACATACCCTCTCTGAGTTCTAGTGTTCCAGAGCTCCCATCCCCCAATTCTATGTGGTCAAGGTCTAGAAATACCTGTAAGGAATTGAGGCCCACAGCAGCATAGGCCCAGGTTGGGTTAATGTGTACCAGGAGGCCAAAAAGCCAGGTCAGGCCCAGGACAGGTAACAGGGCCAGCACCGGCTTCACCATGGCCCTGTGGGGGGAAAGGAGGCAGAGCTGAGGAGCTCTGTACTTCCCTAGGGTCTGATAGATGAAGCAGCACCCAGGAAGTGCCTGGAGAGAGAGGGCCTGTAGCTGCAGCTGGGAGGATGCTCTGCAAAACCCTTGGATGGACTTTGTAGGGGTGGTGGTACCGGGAGATAAGGGAGATAAGATTTTATTCCCAAGTCTAGTTTTCAGAAATGAGGGCAGCTGCTCGGAACTGGGCAGGGAATGGGGAGCATGAGTCAGGAAGGCTCCGCAGCCCTCTCCAGGGGCCTGGGCTTCCTGTCTTTCCAGGGACTTGCTGGCTTGAGTGGTTCTGCTGTGGTGGGGATGGGCCAAGTGAGGAAGGCCAACAGAGGAGGCTGTAGGAAGAAGGTCACCCTGTCGTGCTCCAGCAGTCATGGGGCTGGGGATGGGAAGGGTCCTTGGAAGAGCTGGAGACCTGGATCCTTACTCTGATCCTGGACTGAGGAAGGCCTGACTTGGGGAATCCTCCTGTCTTGTCTCAAGCAGACTTTCAGCACCTTCTGCAGTCAGTGAAGCCCCAGGACAGTGGCTGGTATCTACAGTGCCTCATATAGCATGACATGCCCAAGCGCAAGTGCCCATAACTAAGGCTGCACGTGATCATTGCTGAACAGGCTCACACTTGGCCACACATCCTAACACAGACCCACCCTGCTCACTCAGCCTGCTCAACCAGGCTCATGTGGGGTGCCAGCTGGCCCTGTGCCCCAATCTCATCCTGTCCCCAGCTGGGCCTCACCACATCTGGAACCTGATCTTCTCCTGCAGGCCAGGCGGTGGGTTCAGCATGCGTGCATGGCGGCGGGTGCTGGACACGGTGATCATCACCACACGGACCAGGATGCAGGTGTTAGCCTGGAGGTTGGGTGCCAGTGGGCAAGAGGGCTTCCCTCCTCCCGACCTGCTCCTCCCTTGTGGCACCCACACCTCCAAGCTTACAGTCAGCACAAATAACACGGGCCCCACAAAGGCCCAGATGGCATCCGTGTGCACATTGAGCCAGCAGTGTCCGGAAGCCACATAGTCCTGGGGGTGCATTGCTAGGGTGATAACCACAATGGCCACAGGAATGCCTAGGATAGGAAGAAATGGACTCAGGCCAGGCCACTACCCATTTCCCTCTAGAATCCAGCCCACAGCTGTCCCCTGGTATCCCTGGGTCAATCTAAGAGGTGGAGCATTGAGGCTGCTGAATTGAGGGGACTTAAGAGAGAGAGACTGGGTACAGCTGGAGTCTGATATAACTGAGAAAACTGAGCGCACGGCAGAGACGAGCATCAGATGGTACTGGGTGAAACAGGTATGGGGTAGCGATGAGTGCTGGTGTTCAGTGGTACCAGGTCTGAGGTATTAGGTAGTTCTTAAGTGCTGTTGGATGGTGACTGGTCCTGTTGGGCCTGGGGAGGGGTCTGGGTGGCACCGATGTGGGCGGCGTTGGGTGGCAATAGAGAAAAGAACAACCGTGGTGATCAGGGGTCTTTACCCCAGCCTGCAGCATAGCACAGCCTCATCCTGGGGCCTGGCTGCATTCTCACAGCGACCACCCTGCTCCACAGCAGCAGTCCTTCTGCCAGCATCCAGGAGAAGGCAACCAGAAAGAGGAGATGCATGGCCACTGTGACGGCCACACAGGCCACCTGGGGGAAGATGGAGGTCACTGTGGAGCTCAGCTCTGGGCACAGCTTACCCTGATCCTATGGCCATGCTTGACATTCTCACCCAAACAGGAGTCAGGGGGAAAGGTCTCTGTCATTCGTACCATCTGGGTCTTTCTTCTCTGGGATCGGCTCCCCACCAGGGCAAGAAAGCCACCGGCAGGCAACGGGGGAGGAGACCTCAAATGGCTTCTCAGGCTTTCCTGGCTCCAGAGCTTACAAACCTCCTGCTGGTTGCCCACCTTGTTGGCCTCCGCCCACTCGCTGGTCATAAGGAAGCCCTCAGCAGAGGCCAAGGAAAGAATAAGATTCTTGTGGATTGTGGTCCGCTCAGAAGTGGGAACCCTGTACAGGCAGAAGGCTTGACTAAGGAGGACAGCCGGCCAGCCTCACACCCTTTCAGCCTGGCCTTGCTGGTGTTGGGCAGGTGAGGGCAGTAGGGGGCCCAGCTCACCCTAAGGGAAGCCCCGGACCAAAGTACTGTGGGGATGGCTGTGGAGTCTGAGAGGAGACAAGTAGAGCCCTGGTGTGGGACACTTCCTCACCCAGCCACCAGGAAGAGCAAGAAGGTGGTAACAAGAGCACAGAGGGACACGCCACAGCCCACAAATGACAGAGTCCTCAGCAGTGAGTCCTCTTCAGGACCCTCCTGCAGAGAAGGACAGTGAGGAACCCATCTTCATCCTGGTTTGCACCAGACTCACCCAGCCTGGTGACTTCAAGTCTCTCTAAGGAATCTGTCTTGCTGGATCTCCCTAAAAGCTACCCCTACACCCAAGCTTCCACTGACTCAGCAGAGTCCTGGATTGACCACCCGGGGGATGGTCCTGTGAGGCAGGTGATACTCATAAGGATCACAGACCTATAATTATAAATGAAGCTGCTGACGGGTTGTGATGTGCCATTTACAGGAAATAAGCATCTAAGTTTCCCTGGGGGCTCTTCCAGGCCCAGTGTCTTCTTAAGGTACTGGCTCTAACTTAACCTTTTAGCAAATGAACACTGGGTTCCTTTCTGCCTCTAGGGAGCCCCGCCTCTCCTAATCTACTCTGGAGTCCTCTTCCCTCCTGAGTCTCCTCTTCCCCTCAAACTCATCTGGGTCCATGGTTTTTCTACAGGATCTTCATGACCACTAGGATACCCTCCTGAACCCCAGTCCTAGACCCCCCCAGCTCCACACATCCCCGACACCCCACCATTTCCCAACTTTGGTTTTCTCCAAGCCCCAGGTGCAGCTGGGCCTTGGTCCCTGACTCCAGGTGTCCAGTGCAAGGTAGTTACTTCATTGCTTCCCGCTCACCTGGGCTTCGTACACCTGCAGCAGGATGGCAAAGCTGGTGCTGTGGTTGCAGAAGCAGGTGGTAGAGTCTGGGTGCAGAGTGAGCACCAAGCAGCCGGTAGTGGCCCAGGAGCCCCCTGCATCAGAGCTTGGGGTTGGGAAGGAGCAAAAGGGCTATTGAGATGTGGACATGGGGGAGGGCAAGGCAGGCGGAGGTCTCTCTATGGCGCCTGAAGCTCATGGCTGCTTTGCCTATGGCCAGTGACTGGCCAGTAACTGACTCTCTGGGTCCCAGTTTTCCATCCACAGATTTTCTTAATTTGCTTGATTTTCTCAGGGATGGTAAGACTAGAGGAAGTCAAAGGAAACGGTGGCCTCATTTTCTTGCCTGCACTGGTTGCTAAACATTCGCTGCTGATGTCATTCTCTCCGCTGCAGATCCAGGAGGAGAGTCCATCAATGCCCAGGGGCCACAGCCTCCTAGGAATCCCTCTAGCAGCCACTGGACAGCTGAGTCTCCTTCTAGGCACCTCCCAAAGTTAATGCCACCTCCTTCATATGCATCCTATGATGCAGCTCGATACCATGTGGGTATACCATCCTCCTCCTTGTCCCAGCTTCTGGAGCTGTATGGGGTCTGGAGTTACTCTGAAAAGCAGGGTTTTTTTTTTTTTTTGGGGGGGGAGACTGCAAACACCCCTGAGTCTTAGCTCCTTTGCAAGCAGAAGGGACATCATTAAAAAAAATATCTGTTTTAGTTTGGTGAAATGATTTAACAGGTAAAGGCACTGCTGACAGGCAAACCTGACAGTCTGAGTTCAATCCCCAGGACCCACATGGTAGAAGGAGAGACGTGACTCTTGCAAGTTATTCTCTGACCTCCATACACGTACAAGACACAAATAAGCAAATGAATGTGGAAACTCACTTGACACTGAAGTTCCAAAAAGCACAGATGGGCTTTAGAATCTTCTGTGGGAAGACCTAGAGGTAGGAAAGGAGGACAAGGTAGGTACGTGAGTGTGTATGGGAACATGGAGCAGGGGTGTGTGTGTGTGTGTGTGTGTGTGTGTGTGTGTGTGTGTGGTTTTCTACAATCACAAAGAAAACACAGTCTTTTTGCCAGGTGGTGCTGAGAAAGTTGGATATCCACTTTGTAGAAGAATAAAACTAGATCCCTAATTCTCACCTTGTATAAAAACCAATTCTGGCAAACAGGGTAGACACCAGAAGTGGTGGAAGAGAGGGAACAGGACAGGAGCCTACCATAGAGGCTCCTTTGAAAGGCTCCACCCAATGGGATCAAAGCAGATGCTGAGACTCCCAGTCAAACTTTGGGCAGAGTGCAGTGAATCTTATGGAAGGGGGGGGGGCAATAGAAGAAGCTGGAGGGGACAGGAGTTCCACATGGAGACCAACAAAGCTAAAAACCTGTGCCCAAGGGGGCTTGCAGAGAATGATGCCCCAATCAAAGATCATGCATAAAGAGGACCTAGCCCCCCTGCTCAAATGTAGCTCATGGCCAGCTCAGTCTCCGTGTAGATTCCCGAGTAAGGGGAGCAGGGGCTGTCTCATTCATGAACTTAGTTGCTACTCTTTGATCACCTCCCACTGGTAATGCAGCCTTGTCAGGCCACAGAGGAAGAGGATCCAGGCAGCCCTGATGAGACTTGATAAGCTAGGATCAGATGGCAGGAGAGGAGGACTCCCCCTTCCAGTGGACTAGGGGAAGGGGATGGGGGGAAGAGGGAGGGAGGAGATGAAGGAAGGGGCTACAATTGGGATATAAGTGAATAAATTATAAAATGAAAATAAAAATAAATGACTCTGAGGCTGGTGAAATGGCTCAGATAAAGGCTTGCTACTGAGCCTGCTGACCTGAGTTTAATCTCTGTAGCATACATGAGAGAAGAAGAGAACCAACTCCTGAAAGTTGTTCTCTGACGCACACACACACACATGTAATACATCAACCTTAGTATAATGCTTGAGACTTTGAATTGGGGCTGGACATGTGGTGCATGCCTTTAATCCCAGCACTCTAGTGGCAGAGGCAGGAACTCTCTAAGTGTGATGCCTGCCTTATTTACATAGCAAGATCCAGGTCAGCCAGGGCTACACAACTGTGTCTCAAATAAAACAGAATAAGAATTGACAAATGGGATTGCATAGAATTAAAATGCTTCTGCATAAAAACGAAGATGCTGGGTCAAGTGAAGAGACAGGTATAGAATGGGAAAAATCTTTGCTAACTATATATATATATGACCAGAAATTAGTATTTAGAATCTGTAAAGAACTCTAAAAATTAAACACCAACCTCCTCTAAACAAGCAGTTCAATCTATAAATGGGCTAATGAACTGAACAGACAGTTCTCAAATGGCTGATAAATATAAGATAAAAGGCTCAACATCCTTTGTCACTGGGAACTTCGAGTCAAAATGGCTTTGAGATTCCTCTCATCCATTGCATCATCAAAAAAACAAACAATGGAGCTGGAAAGATGGCTCCCTGGTTAAGAGCATACATTGCTCTTGAGGAGGATGGGAGCGGGGTTCCCAGCACTCACAACTCCAGATCCAGAGGGATCCAGTTCTTGTGGCCTCTGTGGGGACCTGCACCCCCCCCCAAATGTACACAAAACCTAAAATAATACAAATAAATCATTTAGAACAGAAAACAAGCAACAATACAAGCTGACAAAGACACAGGGAAAAAGGACCCCTTTATTGCTGGTGGGATGTGAATTTGTGCCATTGTTGTGAAAATCATTATAGAGGGTCCTCAAAAAAACTGAGATTAGCTGGGTGGTAGTGGAGCACACCTTGAATCCCAGCACTCAAGAGGCAGGGCTAGGCAGCTCTTCCTGAGTTCAGCCTGTCTACAGAGCAAGTTCCAGGGCAGCCAGGGCTCTGTTATACAGAGAAACCCTGATTTGAAAAACAAAACAAGAGCTGGATGTAGTGGCATACATCTGTGATCCAGCACTCTGGGAGGCAGAGGCAAGCAAATCTCTGTGAGTTCGAGGACAGCCTGGTCTACAAAGTGAGTCCAGGACAGCCAAGGCAACACAGAGAAATCCTATCTCGAAAAACCAAAAAAATTAAAATAAAAAAGATTTTTGGAAGCACAACTGTGAGGACTTAGAAAAGAAAAGAAAAGAAAAGAAAAAGCTAAGATAATAACTATCATAGGATTCAGTTATCGCGACCCTTGGCAGGTCCCTGAGGAATCTGTCAGCTCACTACAGAGACACTCGCACATCGGTGTTTATTGTTGCGCCATAACCACGATATGAAGATAAGGAACATGTTACACTCCACAGTAAGGTTCTACTCTGCCGAAAACAACAAAGTTATGCTAGTTCAAAGAAAACGGATGGAACGGATGTTATCACACTAGTAAAAGAATGAAGACTCAGAAAGGCAAGTATGTTTTCACTCATATGTGGAATCTAGATTTAACTGTATATGTGCACTTATGAAAATATAAATGAGCAGAGCAGTGGTGTGCACGTCTTTAATCCCAGGACTTGGGAGGCAGAGGCAGGATGATCTCTGACTTCAAGGCCAGCCTGGTCTACAGAGAGAGTTCTAAGACAGCCAGAGCTACACACACACACACACACAAATAAATAAATAAATTAATTAATTAATTAATAAATAAGCGAACGAGCAAGCAATGGAGGGAGGGCGCAGGAGGGAGAGAAAGGGTAGTGGGGTAATTGAGTGATGAGTGGAGTATACTGATATGCAGATGGTAATATACAGGCATGAAAATGTAATAGTGAAGCTCATTGTTTAAATGATAACTAAAAACTTCATTGAAAACACGTTAAGCAGTATGCTAAACTGAATATTTATTCACTCGACCTTCAATGGATCCAACAAACCACAGGCCAAAAAGATTTTTTAAAAAAGAAAGACAATATTAAAGCAAATTTTTTCCTCTGTCCTAGACACGTAGAGGCCGTTTCTGGTCCTGATTGTCTAAACCAGACCTTAGAATATAGCTATCCGCATCACTGACGTTGCTTTGGCACCACGAGCGAACTGAAAGGAACTGAGAGCATCTATGAGCTGTGTGTAGGGCACCGGAGCTTCTGAGCTGTTCTGTGTAAGGGATTTGAACACCTATGTCTGGGTTCAGGTGTCTGGGGCTGTTTCTAGAACCCCTCGCTCAAGGCTGAGGAGCAATAGCTGCACACGGCAATGAGGCTGACGGAGACTCAGGAGGATATGTAGACAAACCGACACAGAAGCCACACTGGGTGTCCATGTGTGTCCCTAATGACCTCCTGTGGACCGCAGAGGCTTAAGCTTTCTTTAAAATGTCCCAAGGGATAAAAGGGAGGGGGAACAAGGAGTTGTATTTCTTTCATTTCACGGCATTGCATACCGTGACAGAAACCAAACCCCACGCCATGAAAGCCTTTTCAGGCTAGTTGATAGAGAATCCCCTCCCTCTTCATACAGCACAGTGACCAGCCCATCACTCAAGTGTGTAACCCTCCAAGGCTCTCTGAGTAGCACCCTGCCATCATTGAGGTTGCATGTTTTTGTTTCAAAGTCCTGGGGACAGGACCCAGGGCCTCAAAACCAGGCAAATGCTCTGGCTGTGAGACACACTTCTAGCCTGGACTAGCTGTCACCCTGAAGCCCAGTGCAAAGACTCCCTGAATATCAACCTGCAAACATACTCCAATGGTGGGTCAGTGTGAGTGTTTGTGTGTGTGTATGTATGTATGTGTGTATGTATGTATGTATGTATCATGTATTCATTTATTTATTTTAGTTATACAGCCCTAGGGTGACACGCTTGCTTTATCCATTTAAAGATAAGGTCAATCATGTAGTCTTTCTGAGCGCCATAGGGAACAGGCAGTTGGAAGGCTCAGTGAAAAAGTTTCTCAATTTGTGCGCTGTTGTGAAAAGTGCACATTACTCCCCTTCTGCTCCTTTAAGGACAGAGGAGATCATTGGGGATAAAAATGACTGTCTGTGTGTGTGTGTGTGTGTGTGGTTTGCCTGTATATATGTCTGTGCAACACCAATTTGTAGTGCCCTCAGAGGTCAAAAGGGGCCTATCCTATCCTGTATCCCCGGGACAGGAGTTACAAATAGCTGTGAGCTGCCATGTAGGTGCTCGGGATGGAATCAGTGTCCTCTGGAAGAGAAGTTTTTAACTCCTCACGCCATCACTCCAGCCCAAACATGTTCTTTTGAGGATGTTTGGATCTTGGCTGTCCAGTGAGCGCATATTGGCAGGTGTGGGGCGGCGGGGAGCAGAGAAGGGAATTAGGCAGACAAGTGCTGCAGCACCCGGTACCTGAGCCTGGTGCTGCAGGTGAAAGGTCACAGCTGTGCTCAGCTCTCCAGCAGTGTCCCGTACCTCAGAGGAGAGTATAGCTGACCCCACTTGGGTGCTTAGGGACCTGCGGGGACAAAGGGGGCTTTTAAGGATGGATGTGGGGAGTGAGAGGAAAGGAGATGCATGTCTGGGTCATTTCAGCCGAGGGCAGAGCACCTGTACCATGACTCAGAGCCCTGAGGTCCAGCCTCAGGGATTTGATGGAAATCTCTGTTTCCTCCAAGAGTCTAAAGCCAGAACCCAGATAAGAGGGGGGCAGATAAGGGCTCCACCAGGCTCCTTTCTGCAGGCCCAGAAGCACTGACCATGATGGAGGCCTGGCTTCCCTAGGGTGCAGGGGAGACACAGGTCTTCTGCAATCTGCTGGGCGGGGTCTGCTCACCTCTGCGTCCTCGCCTCCTCTGGGCTACCAGGGGCCTGGGACTCTAGGCTGGTTGCCCCCAGGGCATACTGGAAGATGCTTGACGTGAACCAGGTGTGGATGACTGTGACTTCAGGGAGACCTGGCAGAGTGGGAGACACTAGCTGTCTCTGCAGGCATTGCTCTCTCCATTTCACGGGGGAACCGAGGGTCAGGAGCCAGCAGCTTTCTCCCAAGATCACAAACTGAAAAATGACTAAAGGCAGAATTCCAGCCAGCCGAGGTTCATACATATCAACCTGTAGTTCCAAATCCCTTTGTCCTGTGCACTGATTCCCCAACCCTTTGTGGTCAAGGCCCTTGACCACTTCTGAGGAAATCATGTGGATTTGCTGGAGGAGACTAAGCAGATGCCGGAATGTGGTGGGAGCTTCTACCTTCGTAGCCATCCGCCAGTCAAGAGGTAAGAGCCCATCTTACACATAGAGAGACGGAAAGGCTCTGCAAGCGAGGGCAGCCTGTGAAAGACACACAGCAGGCCGCTCACCTGGAACACAACAGGCTTCCAGCCAACTCTCCTCCTCACTCACCTTTCTTGAGGAGCCGCCTCACTTCTCCCGCAGGGATGTGGATGTGGCCTGGTTCATTCGGATGCCCGCCAGGAATGGTGAATGTGTGCCCACCAACGCTGGCCCCTCTCAGGTGCAAACTTTGCACCGCCAGGCCTGGGATTAAATGGAGCAGTGCCTGGATCTCGGGGCTTTCTTCTGGGGTGTCCAGTTGCAGGATGGGCTTGTCCTTTGCCCAGTACAAGACTGGGGGCCCACCCCTCAAGCACAGAGAGGCTGAGCCACTAGCCCAAGGGAAAATGGCTTTCTGGGGTCCTGAGGGTATGACAGTGGGGCAGGACCTGTGGCTGAAGATCACTGTGAGAGTCCCCAAGTGGATCTACAGGAACTTGATGAATGTGAACTTGGGTCTAGCTCTGGGCAGAGATTGTTCAAATAGCTCTGGAACCCCAGAGGCATCAAGAAAAGGCGGGACAGGCCTATTATGCAGGGGCATGTTCAAGATGTTAGAGTAACTGAGGAGGGAAGAGCTGCCCATCAAGAGAGAACTCAAGTGTGTGCGTGTGTGCGTGCGTGCATGCGTGCGCAGACGTGCATGTATGCATGCATGCTTTTTTTTGTGTGTGTGTGTGTGTGTGTGTGTGTGTGTGTGTGTGTGTGTGTGTTGGGGGAGCTGGTGCTCAAGCAGGGCTCCAAGGGGAGGAATTTTCCAGACGGGGGGTCAGGGGAAGGGCATTGTGGGCAGAAGCCACAGCCTGGGTAAAGGAAGGGAATGTTGTGAAGGGCATGGACGTACAGAGACTGGTCTCCCGGAGACCACACTGAGGAAGGGTATCTGGGTCCCACTGTGGGAGTGGATGGTAGCTCACCAGCAAGGCGATGCTGGATGTGGATCTGAGGCTGCGCAATAGTCAGCGTGGAGCTCAGCAGGGATGCCATACGTTGCACAGTCATCACCAGGGTCATAGGCCCACCAACCACCTGGGAGGAAGCTACCGCTCTGCTCCTGCTCCCCCACTCCAGGCCCCACCGCATGGGCCCTGACCTGGGGCTATAGATGCTTGAGGTTCTGGCTCTCTAACAGGTCAAGATCAAGACCTGGGTTCCCCTGTCTTCCTCAGCCTCCTCTGACCTCTCCAGCGCTCTCTTCCAAGCCAAGCTGAAGGTCTCCTAGCATGCCACGTGGCTGCTGGCATGTTGTTTGCCAACTGGAGTCCACTCTGGCTGGGCCACCTCCCTCTTCACCACGGATTCAGAGTCAAACCCATACTATGGATGCTCAAGTTTCACATTAATCTCTGTCCACTAGTAATTTGCAAGGGTGAGTTTTCTAACAGGCTCTCCCTCCAGTGCAACTTCCTGTTCTCCAGAGCACCTGCCTGTGTGTTTAGGCAGACACGGTGGGTGGACCACTTGACACAGAGGATGCCCCACTTGAGGCAGTTGGCAGAATCTTGGCTATGGGGAGGACCCTTCTCACCAGTGGCTCTTAATACATTCTTAACTATGTGCATTGTTCAAGAGGAATTTCCACTCATAGCGACAAGAGGAGCCTCTCCCATGGGATGGAGAGATTCAGCCCTCAGAAACAGGTGTAACCCACAGTTACACAATAATGGGGGGCTGCAATGCCATATCTCACCCAGCCCCGCCTGCCTCACCTCCCTGACAGACAGCCATGCACTGGCTGATTGTTCCCCCAGGGCCAGGCTGGCCACAGACACGAAGCTTCTGCCAAGCTCCTCCAAGGGATTGGTCAGCAGCTCTTGCTCCTCAGCTCTGAGAGCAGCTACCCTCCTCAGGAAGTTCAGGATGGCCAGTAGGGCCCCAGGCCCCAAGGGACCTGGCTCTTCTGCCAGGACTCTTTCCAGGAGACCCATGAAGCTAGAAGCCTTGTCCAAGGACAAGATCCTGGGGAATTCAGACAGGGGGCTTGGGAGGAGCTGTGGGTAGAAAAACAACTGACGTGAGGGGCTTCTCCAGGGGCCACAGTTGGGTACCACCAGGATCTTAATGAATCAAATCTGTCACAGCTGTCAGGGGTTCTAAACCAAGAGCAGGAACAAACGGGGTTTCTATAGATATTTAAGATGGGTGTCTCTTTACAGGTAAGGAAAACAAGGTGAAGAGAGTTGACCCAGTGTGCCGTAGAATTTCCAGTCTCCAGGGATGGGCTCACCACAGTGGCATTGGCCAGAGCATTCACTCTACTGATAATGTCCTGATCAGGCCATGACTGGAAGTCCTGAAGCTGCTGATAGGTCTCTGCAAAAGATTAGAGGCCAAGTTGGGTCCTGGGCAAAGGAGAGGCCAGCCTGCTCTATGACCACCCCTGCCCCATGTGCTGTTCTGGGGAGGAAGACATCTGTGGCAGTGTCTCGAGCATTAAACAGCATGGTAGAAGGGGAAACTGAGGCACAGCATGGAAGAACCATTTGTTCAAAGTCACACAGCTGAGACTGGCCCCCAGGACTGTTGGGACTGATTGCACTGTTGCCTAGATCTGTGGAGTTCTCGAGCCTGGAGATTATAAATGAATGCCCTGACTTCTCGACTATTCCGCAGAGCCCCGACACCGCTAAGGCGCACCTTTTGAGTAGCAGCAGAGAAAAGGCTGTGGGTGCAAGCAGAGTTCAGAGCTCTTGGTGCCGGGTCCCGGGTTCCACGTGGGGCACTCTTCCGAGGGCACTAGCCAGAGCAGCAAGGTGTGAAGACCACATCTTGGCTTCCTACCCTACCCAGTGGGGCCGGGACCCGTCTACCCATGAAGGCCCAAATGGTGTCTGCGCATGACTGGGAATCAGCATACAACATCACCATGTTATGGGGCCTGCTGCCTGCTGAGATCAGGGAAATGAGATGAGGCCTAAAGCCAGCAGTGAGCAAGCCCACACTAAAGTGAAGACTACTAAGATTGGACAGCCTGCAGGCAGGAACTGTTGGCTTGAAGAGGGCGTGGCCAGAACTGGGAGAGATCAAATTGGCAAAAGCTGGGTAGCTAATCAGGGGCAGGGCCAGACTCTGCAGGCCAGCCAGGGGAGGGGCATAGAAGCTGGGCAGGGCAGGGCCGAAGGCCTACCAGGGCAGAGCAGGCTCACGGGTAAGGCGGGCAACAGCAGGGGTGTGACGTCCAGGGCCTCTGGATCCCACTGGAAGAGCAGGCCCCCCGGGGGTGGCGCGCAGGCGCGAGCTCGGCTCACTTGCGCGGGGCTCAGCGCCCGGTCCCACAGGTGGAAGTCGGTGAGGTTGCCACCGAAGGCGTCGCGAGCCGAGAACCCGCCACCCAGGGAGTCCTGATCCTGACCCAGCACGAGCACACCCTCGGGCGGCACTGGCTGCCCGGCGCTGAGTCCCCGAGCCCCGGCGCGCCGCCTCCCGTCGGCGAACAGCGCCCAGCGCCCGCCACGCTGCTCCCACGTGGCGCACACGTGGTGCCAGCGGCCGTCAGAGCGGAAGATGTGGCTGAAGGGTGCGTGGTGGCCGCGCACGACCAGCGCGGCGCGCACGGGGCCCCCGGGCTCGGCGAAGGCGCGCAGCTGCAGAGCGTTGGCCACGCTGGGCGCGGCCAGCGAGAAGACGGTGGCCACCTCGGTCGCTGCCGCGTCCCACTGAACGTGCGCGCAGGCCGTGAGCGCCGCCAGCGCGGGGAGGGCCGCGGGCAGCCTTGCCGCCTTCTTCGCCGTCCTTTCGCCGAACACCAGCGCGGCCGTGCTGTGCTCGCCTGTGGGAACACGCGGCCCAGGGGCTCAGTTTCCCTGGCTGCCAAGGGGCCTGCCTCTCACTGGCACAGCCGCGGCTTGCAGTCTGGAGGAGAAGGAAGGGGGGGAGGGGTCCAGGTCCCCTGCCCATGAGTTAACCTTCACTTCCGGGATGGCCGAGCTGGTAACTCCAGCTCATCCGGAAGTGTTGTCGCGTGAGACCCCCCATCCCCGGGGAGGTCCGGACTCTACCACCCCTGCCCTCCTTGTCCCAGATTCTGAGCCCATACTCACGCCTCTGCGGTTGTCTCCGCAGGGCGGCTTCTCTTTGTCCTACCCAGACCGAGTTAGGCAGCCGTGGAGCCGGGGCCCTTTCTGGGGGCCTCAGGGCCAGGTGACCAAACCTCTGGTCGCAGGACTCTTGGGCTTGCCACCAGCTCAGCCTCTGTCCTGTGAGCGTGCACACCCCTTCTGCAGTCTGCAGCATCTCGCCTGGGGCCACGGGGGCTGGAGGTCATAGGAGGATACACTCAGGAGAGACTTTTGTGGGCATTTCACCCTTTTGGACCCAGGGCTGAGTCTGTGGGGCCAGGCCAGGGCTTGCTCCCTGCAGACTTTCTGTACAACAGGAATGAAATGGGGCCTCCTACAGGGGTCTGAAGGGAACACCGCCTCCCCTTTCTGCATAGTTCAGACCAGTATGCCAGTGTGACGAAGCTGGGCTGTATTCATAGGGGACCTTCCTGAGGGGACCCCTCATACCAACCTTTCCTTGATTCATGTGAGGAGTTATAGGAGGTCCCAGAGAGACTTCTGATCTGATAAGAGAAGATGGATGTGGCCCTGGATAGGTAGTTCTCCCCAATGTGTATGATAGTTGAATAGCTACTGTGTTCAAGGCGCGACGTGGAAGCTGCAGGCTCTGCAGTCCACAAGAATGATATTGCCCGCACATCCCTCCATGAGGTAATATCAGGACATAGCACCTAGCAGTTGCTTTTGTTCTGTTTCTATGCAAGGGCTTAACTTTCACGGTCTTTGAAGCGTAGTGGCCACTTGGAAAGCGAACAACTTTGAGCTCCCTTGTCCCCCTCCCTGAACCCTTCCCTTCAGTAATTCAGGTACCAGAAGATAGAGGAGGCAGTGACCCAGGGGGGTCATTCTGGATGCAGCAGCGGCAGGTGAGGGACAGTGGGGAGCACACGCCTGGCCGGCGTCGACTGAAGAAAAAACAAAACAATAGAACAGAGGTAAGTGAGCTGAGCATTGTGGCACACACGTGCAGTCTCAGCACTTGGGGAGTTCGGGGACATCCTCAGCTCCGCAGCCAAAGCCAGCCTGAGCACATGAGACTCATGTCAAAACAACAGCAAAAGAAAGCAAGCCATCTCTCTGCCTTGCTACCTCCCTGGAGTTCTGCAAGGCCCAAACCTCCCTTTCTTTGGTTTCCTGACCTCACTGGGCTGGGAGCCAAAGCCCTGGGATTAAAGGTCAGGAAAAGGGGTGGCATTTGCTTGTACAAAAGGATGGTCTCCAGGAGTGTCTTTAGAACTGGAGGCTGGAAAATGGTAACCCTGGTGAGTTTCGAGGGCCATAGCAATCCACTCTCCAAGGAGAGGTGGACACAGCCCAGGAGCTCGAGACCTGTGGGCTTTCTTGTTTTTCCAGGGCTTCTCAGCTTGGTGTTCAAGGCTCTGCCTTGTCTGTCCCACATGTAGCCACCTGTGTTTTTGTTATGTGTTTGTTTGAGACAGGGTCAGCCATGTGGTTATGCCGGCCTTGAACTTTCAGTCCTGCCACCTGAAGATGGCAATTGTGGACCATCACACCCACCCATCTAAGCATCATTCATTTCCATACCCCCTACCCCCACCACCATTTCTCGAGACCTTTGATGACACTGTCCCTACTACCTGGACCAGCTCCCCTCACCCTCAGTTGTCCCTTCTTCAAGACAGATTTTCAGTCCCTCCACCCACCGACACTAGTGGTTGGCCTATCATAACCCAGAAGTACAAATTGGAGATACAGTAGTCATGGGTGATTTGGAAGCTGCTCCTGGCAAGCTACAGGGCTCTGCCTCCTGGGTTTCTGTCCCAGGCCTGGCATGCACAGATGTCTTAGACTGTCCTGGCCTTATGCCACTTGGCGTCTGGCCCCTCACAATAATAATGCATGCCCTTTCTTTATACAAAAATAAATCCTGCGCTCAGGAGCCCTCAGAAGCGCACATTTTTGGGACTCTAAAAGTTGCCTTTATTGTAACTTTTCCACTTTCAGAATAATACCTAAGTCTACCTACCCCATTCCAACAAAAATAATACTTAAGTCTACCTGCCCCATTCCAAAAAAAAGGGTAAGAAATAGTGGCTGCGAGCTGAGGTCCATTTATCACTATGTACCATATTCATTGTACGTAGTAGGTCTCAGTGGGTGCTGTGTCCCTTGCTTCTGTCTGTACCCTCCAGCCCCTTGGGGCCTACCTCTCCTGCTCAAATCAATTTTGCTGCCAGCATGGGTCTCCTGTCCATGAGAACTCTGAAGAAATCTCCCCTGTGCTGATGAGGCCTTGGCCTCCCTTCACCACTGGTCCCGCCCCTCTTCCCAGCTCCTGGTTCTCACCTGCTTTACTGGTGCTGTCCTTCCATGGTACACTGGTCCACCCTCAGCTCTGTGTCTGGGGCCAGCTCTCTGCCCTGCAGCCTAGCCAGTCCTGCCAGCAGAACAGGGGTGGAGCTCTGTGACTCCTCCCTGAGACCTGTCCCCTCCTCCTTTGCCCCCAGGGTCTGGGAGGGAACCTTTAACTGCTGCATGGGACATGCCTGTTGTCCTGTTCTTTCACCAGCACATTGTAAAGGCTCCCTGTTACAAAGAGTCACACTGTGAGACTTGGATTAAAAATGAACTTGGGGAACCCAAAGGGCCCTTGAGATTCTGATGCCTTGGGTGACCAAGCTGGTAGGACCAGAGGGGACCAGCCCATGCATACTGCTGCCTTGAATTGCTCCCCCAGCCTGCCTTCCCTTACATCCACCCCACAATGAGGACAGTTGGCATGCTCTGTTTTGCGAATCATGGACAATTAGTTTCTTCCGGAGCCATTAGCATGGAAGGTAGGAGGGGAGGGGGAGGGGCAGCTCCAAGAGTACAGGGGAAAGTAGAGAGGTGGGGTGCAGAGGCCCCACCCCGACTGCCTCAGTGGTCTTACCAGCAAGGACTTCTGCTTGGGCGGGAGCTCTGAATGGATGACTGTACCATCGAGGCCTTGGGTCCACACTGTCATACTGCCTCCCGGAGGAAGCACTTACCTCTCCTTGATCCCAGGCTTCCACATATGTAAGACAGTTCAGAAGAGGTGGGATTCCTGTGCCAGCCCAGTGCCTTTGAAACTGTGGCAAAACACACAGCATATTGAATTTACTGTCTATGATAGGTTATTTCTCTTTTATTTACTTTTGAGACAGGATCTCACTACGTAGGCTTGGCTGGCCTGGAACTTGCCAAATAGACCAGGCTGCCCTTGAACTCACAGAGATCAGCTTTGGTTTTTACGTGTCTGCTTAGGCCTCTTTCCCTGCCTTTCACCCTCTGAATGCTGGGATCAAAAGTATGAGCTACCACACCTAGCTCAATTTTATCTTATTGGTCTTGCTTATGTAGCCAAGGGTGGCCTAAAATTTGTGATTTTTCTGTCTCAGCCTCCAAGTGCCAGTGTTATGATTATGTACCACACGTGGCTTTCTTTTTGAAAAGAGGGGAATCAAAGCAAATGACACAATGGTGCTAATTTCCCAACTTCTCTCTGGATTCGATATTTAAAATAAAAATCAGAACTGAGTATTGTTGTACAAACTTATAAATCTCAGGATTGATTCAGAAGGCAGAGGCAGGAGGATTGGGAGTTCAAGGCCAGCATCAGTTTCATAGAGACTCCAAGGCCAGCCTGAGACCCTGTCTCAAAAACAAACAGACCAGGCATGGTGACACACATCTTTTATCCCAGAATTCAGGAGGCAGAGGCAGATGGATTTCTGTGAGGTAGAAGCCATCCTGGCCTTCAAAAGAAGTCCAGGACAGCCAGGGCTCTGTTACACAGACAACCCTGTCTCAAAAAAAAAAAAAAAAATCATCCAAATAAATAATATTAGATGGAAAAAAAATCCTCCTATCTGGAGCAGAGTTCAGCATGTTTGGGAGCCAACAGAGTACAGGTAGGACATGGTTATCTTATTTTTGACATGCCACGACCCTACCCTACCCCAGTGTTCAGAGCCAGTGAAAAAGCAGGGAAAGAAGGCCAACACAAAGCCCCATTCTGCCTGGTTGTCAGGGCCCTTTCCGTATCTTTGGCTTTGGTTTCAGTGTGTCCGCTGAGGCTTTCTGTGCTGGCATTCAATTTGCACTGGATGGCATTTAGAGAGTGGGCATCCAATGTGATTCTGCTGTTGGGAAACGGAGACTTGGGGAAGTGACTAGGGTTAAGTAAGACTGTCAGAATGTGGCTTGAATCCTGGTGGCATTAAGGAAAAGAGAGGCAGGGAGGAGGGAGAGAGAACACTCACACCTCTCCATGAACTCCTCTCCACTATCAGCAAGAAAGCCTATGTCACATGCAGCCCCTTAAGCTTGGCTCTCCACAATCTTGAGCCAAAATGAGCTTATTTTCTTTACATGCCTCAGTTGTCTTGTTGGAGTCCTGCAAGACTAACACAGCACACTGGGGCCATCTGCTCCACACAGTTTCAGGAGCCCATTTTATGCACGCATAAGTTGACCTCGGAGAGAAAGTAGGCTCTTCAAGGAAGGGGTAGACTCCTTCTCTAGGGCTGGGGTAGACCTTAGATGATACTGCGGTACAGTCTCTCTCATGTGCACTGTGGTCTCACTCTTTCTGACCCATAAAAAAGCTGTAGCCTGGTGTCCATCTTTCTTTTCTCTACAGGGCCCTTGCAAAGGCTCCCTAATAATTCTCTCCTTCTCTCGGGACAACATCTCTTGGGGTCACTCCTGGAGATGGCGAAGTAGAATGGGAGCCGTCTGTAGACCCCCACCTGGGGCCCTGTCTAGCAGGCAGATGTGTCTGGACCAAGACCTACCTAATCTGTCCTTCCCAGAGCCTGGGTGATGCTCAGCTACCAGTGAAGGCCATCCATCAGCTAAGGATGGCAGTGGTGACAGGCCCATTGTCTCTGGGGACTGGGTCTAGAGGCTGAAGGGACAGATAGCCATGAGACATCTCAGGCCCATTGTCTGGAGAGGGAAATGGGCAGGGTAATTGCTGCCAGGGATACCTTAGGGGTGAGCTGAGGATACTGGCCCTTCTCAGTACCAGACCTGGGCCTGGCCCAGCCTCAGACCTTCAGCTGAACCCTGCTTCTCTGCCACCAGAAGGCAGCAAGAGCATGGACATTTTCACCTCAGGGTCACCAAGGATAGGACCTTCACCAACTCTGATTTGACTTTGATGGGTCTCTCCATTCGAGGCAGACTCACCTTTTTCTCTGAGGATAGAAGAGTTTGTGATTGTGAGGACCACTGTCACTTTTCTCTGAGGGGCTGGCTCCCACACCAGAGACACACCCCACTGACCTTGGCAATGAATTCCATAGGGTCTACAATGGGCCTAGAGTCACTGGGTGTCTTCTTTCACCTGCCCCAGGGCCTTCTACCTTGGGACTGGAGAAGTAAGCCTTCTCAAGTTTCTTTCCTTCCGTGGCCTCCCACCACGTCCAGGAGAAAGTCCTGCCCCACTCCTGTCTGTTCCCCTTCTTTCCCTGCTTTCTCCTCTCAGTTTCTGATCAAGGTGAACATTCTCTACCTAGGAAGAGGCATAAAACTCCAAGCCTCTTCTGGTTCATTTCTCCTCATCCCTCAGCTTAGACCTTTCTAAGTTGTGTTCCTGGTGCCCTGTATTGAGCTGGTTTAGGATGATCTACTGGTCCCTGTGAATGCCTACGTCACACCCACTCCAGTACCTGGGCTGAGCTCTGATCTGTGCCTTTGGGTGGCTGGGGTGGGACTCTGTCTAATGGGCCCTCTAAAGGCCTAAGAGGTGTGTGTGTGTGTGTGTGTGTGTGTGTGTGTGTGTGTGTGTGTGTGTTTGGCCTGTGAAGAAAAGCTTTTCTCTTACCCCTTGCCTGCCCGCACCTGTTTCTGGGACATCTCTGGAGGCAGAT